TTTGGTTTCACCATGGTCGATGTGGTATTTTTGGTTGTTTTTCTTAAGGGTTGATTATTTCGATACACGAAAATCACTAAGTAATTACTATGCAAGAGATTACGTGTACTCTTAATATGTTTAAGTGTGTATGAAAATTGAAATTATAAGATTAGAATTATTCGTCGGAACAAGATTAGATTCTTGCGCTCCGACGTGAGCTTTCAGTAGACCTGATTAGATCCTGTGTAGCTCTYGGTACTAAATCTACACAGGGTTCTTATTGTTCTGATCTACTGACGTCTTTGTTCCGTGCGAGGTATTCTATTTCTGATATTGTAGACCTCTTACGATCCACGGACCTCTTAAGTGTTCGGTCCTCTTTATATTGGATCCTATGATACATACATAGGAAACGTACCTTACGATAGGTACGTAGGAATGGTATGATCCTTCATTCCTTTCTTTGGAGCTTCGTATCGTATCGTACATATACTTCCAATACAGTACGTACGTATCCGTTGCACATACAGTAGTTGTTTGCTACGTCACACAAACCGATATAATGGTGTTTTAAGTTTCMTGCGTGCACGAAAACAAATTCCCGCGCGTGTTTTTCTATGCTCAAATTAGAATCTCACGGCCCTTTTCAAACAACGCATGGGTGAAGGGATGTAGGGTCCAAGGATACTAATTTTCGGGCATAGACCATGAAGTTCGATGGATAAGGGGATAGATGAGAGTGTGATTGAGAAAACATGTTCCCAGAACCAGGAATAAAATTAGATGTTCGATATATTAATTTGTAATTCATAAACTAATGGTAGGACCAGAAATTTTAAGGGTATAGACCGCGCGAAATGCGCAACACCATGGATCCCGTTTGTGTGACGTAGTACTAGTACGAATATCAATCGGCAGGAGGAATGCAAATACTACTAGTAGTAGCATATCTATATGTTGATGAAAGTACTAGTACTGTACTACAACAACAAAGTGAACGGAGGGTAACGAGAAAGCAACAGCACTCGAACCACCACCATCGCCATCGCCACCAAGGATGAGAAGACGAACCAAAAGCACTACTGCTACGAGTAATAGTAATATAAGAATGCCAAAGGACACCGCCGAGAAGCAAGCAAGCCAAGACTGCCATTCGTCAACGTGTATTGTTCTTTTTCAATTGCTAGTAATGATGATAATAAAAATAATATAGTAATAATAGTATAGTAATTCTTTCCTTTTCGTCCGCCGGTGGGAACAAGCCTTGTTCCGGGGTTGCCCGCCGTCCAACCGTTCCGGACCCGCCGTGCCGCACAAAGCACCGTGCCCTCACCCGCTGTTCGGGCCGTGCCACAACAGCAAAGCATCGCCACGGTTTACCAAAACGACCAACCGGCCAGAACCGTGCCCGTCCATGCCAGAACCACTGCCGCGACGGCCGTATACCTAGCGGCAGCGGCAGACGGCGGCGGGGGACGGTAAATCACCATGCCACTGCGGTAGGGCAGAGCACCAGAAACAAGCAATAGGCAGCAGGAACATTTCACAGCGCAGCAATCGATCGCCGAACCAATCGGTTGGATGGTGGAAAATAGGTTCGAAAAAAAGACGCGTGAGAGCCGAGCCGTGTCGCACCGCACCGCAATCCCCTGGGGAGGTTTCTACAACGACCAGCACACCAGAGCCGTGCTCCACGCCCACAGCATCGCCAAATTGGTGGCACCGGCACCGACGCGAGTGGCCGACGACGCAAACGGGTCTTCCTCCATAATGGTGGGCCAGAAAAACTCGAGCAGAGGCTCCGTCGGAGCCATCGATGGCTCGTTCGTGGCTCCGTAGGGGCTCGGCCGTCCCGAGGGCCTCGCGGAGGGTTCCCCGGTGGGCACCGGCGTAATGGTGGGCTGGGGGGTACGGGTGGGGCTCCCCGACGAGGACGCGGTCGGCGCCGGGGATACCGTTGGACTCGGGCTGGGAGCCGGCGTCGGACTGAGCGTCACGTACCGGCTACAAACACTCTGGCTCGCGGCGACGCACGTGGGATCAAAGTCTTCGAATTGTTGCATGTTCTCAAAGACCGAAGAAAACGGGCAAAGGCCTCCGCTGCTGTTCCGAACGTAATTGAATTCGTTTTGGAAGGAATTCCCAAACACCACGACATTGGAAGAGCCCACCAGGTTGTCCGAGAAACACGTTGTTGATACGCCCACGGGACCCAGAGATTCGACTATGTAGCTGTGCGTGTCGGGCCTGGTGTTGTTCCATATCATGTCGTTGTTTTCAAACAGACTGCTCGTGACGTTGATTCGATTTTGCCCACTGTTGCCGTATATCAGAGCACTCTGCGAGCCCCTTCCAAAATAGCGATTGTTCTATTCAAAGTCAAAAGTTTCGGTGAGAGACGAATACATAAGATAGCCTCGATGCGCAGCAAACCAGTCTCCAAAACCGCCTGCCGGAATACGAAAATGACGAAATCCCAGCTCGGGAGTGCAACGAGCTACAGCTCGACGCAAACGAAGAGCAGTCATTCAACGACAAACAGCGAGGCCGAAACGCAACATACGACGTACCCGGAATTCGCAATCCAAAAACGTCGTCACGAGTTCCGCCGAAGGGGCCGAGGCATCGTAAAAGTCCAGCATGATGGGCGCGGAGGAATTCGTAAATTCTCGAAACTCGCAGTCCTGAAAGGTGACCGATCCTGGCTTGTTGCCCCAGAACGAATATTCCCCGGCCCCGATGAAGACGAGTCCCTCGATGCGGACGTTTTCCAGCGAGTCGTCCGTGATCCCCAAAATTTTCGTCCCGTCCAGGTGCAGGTCTCCTCCCTTGACCCAGCAAACATTCTCCCGCAGACCCTGGTCTCCGCACCGAATGGTCATGTTGGGCCGGAGGGGAAGCGGCGGCATGACGGCCTTTCCCCCCGGAGGCTGGACCAGGTTGCCATCGAAATCGAGCTTCCCAATCTCGTACACGTGGCGCGGGCAAAGAATGTACAGGCGCGGAACGGAGGTGTCCGTCACGACGGCTTCCCGCTTGTAAATCGCTTCGAAATCGTCGATGCAGGATTGCCCGAGGGTCCCCAGTGGCAAGAGGAGGACCAGAAGGATCGTCCAGAGAAAACCGCAACGGCGGTATTGGCTCAGTGGCCTCTCGGAAGGCAAGCGACGCATTGTCAAACCGACCATTGGTGCACTGCGTCGAGAGGATGAGCTGTATTCAACCCCAGACCCAGAATATGCGCGGAAGTACTTCTTGCTCTTGCGTTCGTCGTTTGATACGGAGGAACAACGACAACGACGACGACAAATGCCCGGGCGCAAAAGTTGGTGGAACCCGATGCCGAACAAACAAAAAAGGTCACGATGGTGTTTCAGAGTTGCGTTGGTTTGGTTTGATGGAATGCGTTATCTGTACCTTGCGGGTTGGTTCACCCATCAATAAATGATGATCAGAATAATGACAACAATTATTGCTTTTTGGTGGGAGGAGATCGCGTTGCGTGCCGTCGTGTATCGCACCGTTACGTACAGTTCATGGTCGACGAAATAAACCGTCCAGCTACCAAGCGGAAGAACCACGTTCCACGAACCGCAAAAACCATTCCCGAATGTGAACTGTTGCGTATCGTTTTGGCGCGCCGATCATTGTTTTCATGTGTTTTGTATGTGTGTGTTTTCGTACTGCTCAACGGCTTCTTTAAAAAAACCAATTTGAAAACTAGCGCGTCCCCACGAAACTATCCTGCGAGTACGGTAGATACTCGTGTGTACGGTAACTGTCCTTACGTACTTAGTACGACTACGCACATGTACATGTAGTTCCCGGGTATGAATTTTTTCACTGCTCTGCTTGGTCGCAGACTGCCGAGTGAGCTCGTCCTCTCATTCCCACTTCACTTTCGAAACATTTTTGCACCGTATCCTCGAGTTTTTCTTCTTGTTGTTCATGCTCTTTCACATGTTCGAACGCCATACAAGCGAGAGATGACAAACTGTTCTCGCTGTATGACTCAATTTTTAACCATGAAAACACGAAAGGGAAACGTATGCTGGCGTTCGTGTGATTCATTGATTGAAGCAATCGCCTGCAAGTGGGGAGAACCGTTTGTTCTTAGTCTTGTAGTAAGAGCAAAAACAGCAGGGGGACGACGTCGACGAGCACGAGCACCAGCATCAGCACCAGCACCAGCACCAGATGGTGGTGATGATGAGGAGAAGCAAGGAAGAATGCTGGCGATTGTAATATACTAGTAGTACTGCTACTGACAAAGAAAAATCCTCCTCCAAATTGCGATTCACTTCGCATTTGTTATTACACCAATCGTCCAATTTCCTTCTTCTCGAGAAACATTGCAATTGCTTTGTTGTTGTTGTTGTTGTTGTTGTTGTTGTTGTTGTAAAAAAGATTAATAGGAGGAAGATATACTACTGGTAGTACTAGTAGTAGCAGTAGATGCTTCAAAGTCAGTGCTTGGAGGTTTTGATGACTCTTTCATTTAAATGCAGCACCATTGAAATTTTTGTTCCATCAAGCCAAGAAGAATTGAACATGAGGAGGATCCTTTTTGTTAGTGGTTTAATACTAGAATTTCTGGTATGATCCTTCTTGAAGAGTCAAAATAACTTGTCAATTTCACCAATCCCTTTATTTGCCCATGTCACTTCCATTCTTGTTTCACCAAGAGCACATTGCATGATTTATTGATCTTTCCGTTTGCCATTTAGTGCTGATCATGCAACAACATTTTGGGCACTGTGTGTTTGAAACCTTGGATGGTATGTCAAACAATGTATGTGTTTGACCACTATGAACTCAAATGAGGGAGCAAAAGCAAAGGTTGGCTGTTGGTGTGTTGTTCTTTTTGTTTGTCCACTTGAGCAGTAGTATGTAGTGGGCAAGTGCTTATACATTGCATCAAATTCTGTCAAATTGAGAAAATCTACTATCTTCCCACCATTTTTATTCCTATTCACCTGTGGGCCTCCTCCTTGGCTGAATTCTTTCTGACTTTATATGATGATTCCCGATGGGATTAATGTAGCAATCCTCAACATCTCCTCTATGGTAGTGGTGGACATACTGCTGGTGTTTCTTAGAACAAATAAGCATTGTACAGAGCATGGTTGACAAAGAGAACTCCCCCCCACTTTTTTCTCTCTGAACCCTAACCCATCCATCTGATGCTACTACTAGTACTATTATATTTCCCCCTGAATCCCAAAGCTTCCTCCTTCATATTTTATGCCACTACCTGCTATTTCTAAAAATGAGAAAATTGAATTAGAAACAAATCAATCCTTGCTAAGAACAGATTGGCAAGTACTTCTGACAACAATTTTCAATAAGTGATGGACCATGACAACAATTGGAAAATGAAGAATGGAGTAGTAGCAAGAAGATTCAATAAAAATCTTAATTTGTTTTCAAAGATTTGCTTCAAAACTTTTTTGTCTGGATCAGTGTTTTCTTTCTCTGTTATTGATATGTTCTAATCCTTTTCTCCTTGATAATTCTTGGTCATGGTGAACCTACTATCTTGTGGTTTAACCTGGATTGTAAGAGCTGCTTTTTCTCATTTCAAAATTAAAATCAAATGTTTCATGTGAGGATGGAGGTAAATAACAATTCTAGCAATGTGGTGTTTGTACACATTGATTTCTTCTTCTTTGACTTCACCTAGTGAAAAAGCTACATGATCTTGAGTTTGATAGCTTCTAAATTGTTGAGGATTTTTCTGTCTTTTGTAAGGAGAACACTTGAAAAATTTTCTACCAGTGGTGGGACACATGAAATATGTTTTTATTAGATCATACTATTCTTTCAGCTTCTTAGTACAATAACTACTAATGCTACTACAATGTATTTTGCATATGATTTCAACAACCCAAATTTTATGATTTTCCCAAAGTGTCAAGGGGAAGCAAATATCTCCCTTTATTTTCAGCTGTATAAAATTGACAAGAAGCAACTGTTGAGAGGGCGTTACAACACAATTCTTGTTTGCTGCATGATCTTTTAAAAGCACATGATACATGATCCTACTAGCAAGCAATATATTTTATCCATTTCAAAAAACTCAAGCAGGAACAATTTCAACTGACTCAAGAAAGTTGTATTAGCCTTCAACATTTTAAAACATGCTTGCATGTTATACTAAATGTCAATAGTAAATTGTTGTTGTTCTTGAGAACTGCTGACTATGGTGGCAACTGCCACCAAGGTATTTCCAAGTAGTACTAGTAAAACTAATTTTAGTTTCACCTATTTTGTTTGATTTAGTCCACCAATAATGATTCAAGAAATTCCACTTGAGCTTTAATTTCTTGGAGAAAAGAAGTGTACCAGTCATCCTGGACCCAAATTGATGGATTTAGTAGTAGTACTTCCACACTAGTAGTATCAAGATGGAGATGGTCTGATTTTTCAAAATGAGATATACTATTCTCTCACCAGTAGTACTATTCAGAGCTGTAACCCATTTGGATCTCATTATTGAAATTTTCAAGTTCCATAAAGTAATATTCACTTAAACAAAACAATACTTTCAACAGAGGCACACATCCACTAGCATAGTAGTACTATAGTAACAGAAAATACCACTACTAATCTGAGTGCCATTACTACTACTAGCATCACAAACTTCATTGTCCTTGCATAGAGGAGTAGCAAACAATTACACTTGGTACAGTAAAAAAAGCATTGCCAATCACCAAACTTGAATACAAAATTCTGGTGACTTGTAAAATAACTGCAAATTTTATGTTGACAAAAGAAACCTACTACTAAGCACTCAATTTCAAGAAGTAAAAAATAGCACTTATTATTTTCATCACATGTTGGCTTTTCTTTAGAGGATGCTACTGGTGATAAATAACAAATCCTTTCCTGCAATAGTTCTTGCTGCTGCAAGAATCACTGGGATAAGCTCTTCTCTTAAATTAACCTTGTTGGATCTATGCTGGGAGAGCTACAAGAAGTCTGCTGCTATAGATATCAAAATCTTCCAATGGAAGATCAAAACAAGGAGTGGCAGCAAGGATTCTGTTCCTAAGACCCTCACAAAGATCTTTGCTGAAGTCTATACTACTACTAAGTAGGAATTGGTGAGAAAACTAGTTATCATTTCATCATAGCAGCAGTCTACATGTATTGATGAGTAGTAGTACCCCACTAGCACAAATTTTATTCCATTTTGTTTTACCATCACTATTTATTCTTTTGAAGCCATCAAAATCACAAGGGTGATTGCCTTCATGATAATATAGCACAGTCTCAGTAAATGAAACATCCTGATACATTGTTTTGGTTCACATAGCACACCTGCTGTGTTGTTCTCAATTGAGAGGCGCATATTCTTGACCACAGCTGCCTTTTTGTCCTAGAAGACACCAGTAAGTAGCTTCATAAAGTTGTAATTTTAAAGGACAATGATAGGCTTCATAGAGTTGCAATTTTAATATCATTACTGAAGGATGAGCACTTACTACTTCTAGTAGTCCATACCAGCACCAGGAGTAGTTTTGGATCAACAAGTAGTATCCTCATCTCTGATTCACCTTGGATGGAGGACAGGGCTGCACTTAATTCAGTTGTGATAGAGTTGGCAAAACAAGTGCAACAAAATACAATTACCTAGTGAAAAATAGTATGCACCAAGAATCCAGCAATGATGCAAAGTTCATAATTAAATTTATGTTGAACTCTACTAGTAGTATATCAAATGTTCTCCTCCATCCCCACTTTATCTTTGGTTGGATACACCTCCTGCTTCACAAAAAAAGGGTTGGTCCACCATAATAATACCACAATACTTGAGAGAATAGATCAGTGGAGAATCCACCAGATGAAAAACCTACATCACATTCAAGGACGAGAGCACAATGATTGAAAAGTACCATGATTGACACAAGGTCAACAAGTTATGAAAACTACTACTACTACTACTACTAGTAACAGGAAAGTTACTATGGTGTTTAATATAATAGGACATCATTACTAGTAGTATGTACTATACTTGCATAATTGGACCATCACATTGCTCTAGCTATTGTTCCAAGCCAGCTTCAACACCATACAAATACTATGGTGCAATTACACTCCTCTTGAATGGTTCTTTAGCAATAAGGTCTCCATGTATACTCACCAGCACCATGATACTGATCCATGGTTCCATCAACATCTGTTTTGATGGTGATGGTTACTAAGCCATTGGCTTAATTGCCACAGTAAAAGTCTATGAAACCCACAACTTCTTTGAATAAGCCCACTTGATAAATACCTTTTGGATTATCACAGACCTGCTGGTGGAAGTCTGCTTGTTGATGAATCTTGTAGGTCACAAATGATGGCCCCTCCTGCCATCATTAATATAACACAAGAAGCTCACTCTAGTGCTAACAGCTGTTCCCACCTTTTCAGTCTGAATCAATTTTGTTGCTTCTTATGAAAAAAGTTGGACCAGCTCCTGCTGCTCAAGTTTGCCAAAGGGAAAGGTTTCTGGTTTTCAATTCATTGATTCTGTTCTTGACCATCAAGTGAGCCTCCTTTACCTACTAGTACTACTGCTAGTACAAACAATCTCTTGTTTAGTACACCCCCTTTCTTGTTGGTATCCTCAGTATCTACTACATTCAAGGCAACTTTTACACCTAGATGGTGGTGTCTACTACTAGTGGTAGTACTCCTCTCCCAACTGAGTTGTGAAGATATTCTAGGCAGGGAAACTGAACACAATAGCCACTATATCCTTTCTGGTGATAATACAAGCAGGATAAGACTAGAAGCTTTTGTCAAACCTTTCCCTCAATTGGTATGATTGGAATAGATTTTGGGATTGCATAAATTGAAAATTGCCCATACTGAATTACAACCAGGACTCGAAATTTCGAGTCATGCATGTTTCTTTTGGCCAGATAACGATGGCCTTGTCGGGCCTCCTCCGAGTCCTAGTTTTGGATTGCGAGAAATAATACGAAACAAAGGGCCTGTACGGCGCGTTCCTACGCGTCGGTAGGTACGTAGTAAGTGTTATCAAACAGTACGTGTAAGGCTGCGGACGGACCGGCGGCACCCGCCGCAGGTTTTTTGTATGGAACAGGAAGCACGCGCAGAGTGTGCACGGGGCGGGCCATTGCACCAAGGACGGCGCAACAACAACGACGAAACGAAAGGAAACGAAATTGATTTGAACTGAATTGAATTGAATTGAATTCGAAGCCAAACGCGGAACAGAATGGCCGACGGCGCACGTACGGGTAATTTGCCGTGCCTCTGCTATGCTTTTGCTGCAGTACAGCACTGTACCACTAGTACTATCAACAAAATACGTTCTTTTTCGTTTTCATTTATTGGGCAGGGGGTCACTTCCTTTTGAATCACCAGTACGAACCGAAGCGTATGGCACAGTGCCGTACGAACTTGTACTCGTACCTACTCGATCAACCCCGCAGCATTTCACAAGCAGCTACGGTACGGTACGATACTGTAAGGCCGGTAAGAAATAATACTAATGAACAACCCTGTCTGGAGTCTCGCATTGCTAAGATTTGAACAAACGACGGCATCTCCACCGCAACAACAACAACAGTAGGAGCGAACGAGAGACAGATAGAAAGAAACAAGCCGAGCTTGCTTCACTTCTGACACCGCAGTTATTCGGAAGCGGTGTGGGGAGCATAGATTCTGTTTGACACAAAAAAGTAGTGTTCCCAGGGTCTTTTTGGAAATCAAGATCCGTATCGGAACAATACTGCTGCATTTTTGTGTCGGTGTTGCTGTGTTCGATCTCATTCCGTGGCAAACAAGTAACCGCGGAGTCATTTCAATAGGAGCAGGAGCAAAAAGATCCATTGGTTACCTAGACTCGGGTTTGATTCGGTTCGGTTCGGTTGGGTTCGATCTGATTTGATTTGATTAGATTAGATTTTACCTGCCTCTTGTCCACAAGAATCTATCGGTATCGATAGTTGTATCCACTGCATCCATAAACAAAAACGGATCGTCGGATCGTGCTCGGTCCCAAACACGATAGGACACGATGAATATATTCAGCGCCAAAAAGAAAAAGCGCAGCAGCGGCATGGCAGCGACGGACGAGGACGGGGACGACGACTACGATCGCCACAAGCAGCAACAACACGATACCTCCGCGATGGACATTCTGGTCGACAGCGGCAGCGACGAGGACGAGATCTTCGACGACGGTGACGACGACGACGACGACGACGAGGTCTCCGGCCGCCGGGGGGGATCCTCCCGCAACGGGGGCTACGGCGTGGTCCCGCCGTCGCAGCAAAGCGCCAAGCGGGGCCTGCCGAACGTCATCCATTCCGTGGACGACGACGACGAGGACTTTGACGGGGAGTACACGGACGCCTCGGCGCACGACGACGCCTCGGAGGATCCCTCGGACGACGAGGACGAGGACCAGAGCCGCCGCTCGCGCCACACGGACGAGGATTCGGACGACTCGGACGAGGATCGCAACGAGAAGCACGGGAGCGACAGCGGAGAGGACTACACGGACGACGAGGACGAGGGCGAGGACGGCTACAAGCCCGGTGGGTACCACCGCGTGAAGATCGGCGAGGTCTACAACCAAAGGTACGCAAACGCAAACGCAAACGCAAACGCAACGCAACGCTATTCCACGCAGCCGAGAAGAAGAGAACGGGAGCCCAGAAAGGGGTTGTGTTTCGAGAACGATCGGCCCCGACCGAAGAAAGCATCGGCTCGCTTTTCTATTCCCAGAGAAGTAGATCCTTGCGTCTTTTCGCCGACACTCTTTTTCATGCCGTTGATTTCTATGCTCATTCCATCATTGCTCCATCGTTTTATTTTCTTTTGCCGGTCTTTCGTTTCCTTTTTATGCGAAACAACCATTTTGTAGATACGTCGTCATTAAGAAACTGGGATGGGGCCACTTCTCTACTGTGTGGATGGTAAAAGACCGAAAGGCGGTTCAGAACAACGAAGGAGAACAGTTTTTGGCGCTGAAGGTTCAGAAGTCCGCGGACCACTACACGGACGCAGCGATGGACGAGGTGGAGCTGCTCGACTGCATCCACAAGGAACGCAAGAAACAGCGTTCCCTCCCCCAGAACAAGAAAGACGCCGATGGCGTGACCGCCGGAGAAATGTCCGAGTTTTCGAAGTACTCCGCCACGCTGCACGATTCCTTCTTCCACACCGGTCCCAACGGGCGGCACATGTGCATGGTCTTCTCGATGCTGGGCGTCAACCTTCTCTCCGTCATCAAAGCCTTCAACTACCGCGGGATCCCGATACCCGTGGTCCAGAACATGATACGGGGGATCTGCAAGGGTCTGGACTTTCTTCACAGAAAGTGCCACATCATCCACACGGATCTCAAACCGGAAAACGTTTTGCTGTCGTCGCACGAACAACTGGGCGGTGGCCCGAACGACACCGACAGCCTTGTCGGCTCGATGGCCAACATGAGCATCGACACGAACCGAGAACTGGCGAAATCCATCAAGCTCCTGGAGGACGAGCTACAGAACCCGAAGCTCAGCCCAGCGGACCGAAAACGACTCAAGAAGAAGCTGAAGAAGAAACGACAAAAGGCCCGGAAGAAATTCTTTGGTTCCGGAGGCGACAGCGGAGATGAGGACGAGGACGACACCGATTACAATGCCGACGACGACGATGACGACGACGGCGAGGACGAGTCCCCCAACCTGTCGGACTGGGAGCTGGCCCGGATGCTCAACAGCGCGTCCAGCATGATTTCCCCCAGGTCCGCCGACGAAGGGGTGATCCCGGCCACCGCCTCGGTCAAGCGGAGGCTGAACCACGGCCCCTTTATCACCTCGAACTTTGGCCACCGCAAGGAACAGGCCGATGCGATGCTCCTGGGCCTGCTGCAGACCCTGATCGACGTCCGGCGGCCCTCTGCCGAGGAGCTCGCCCGCTACCTTTCCCCGCCGAAGAACGACGAGGACACCGGCGAGAACGGGGTGGCGGAGATTGCCTTTATGCTCCGGGCCTTTACACCGGAGCAGGAACTGGCGGACGGGGTCTCCACGGCGCTCGGTGGAATACCGTGGGAGCTGTCCGAAGACAAGGCGAGGCGAAAATGGTAGGTTTGAAACCCGTTTGGTTGGATGCGGATTGGTTGTGTTGTCTCGTGCGGTATTGTGTTGTATGCGGATTCTCACGCATTGCTTTTAACGATGGCCTCGACCCTTTTCGTTTTGTCACTTTCGCCCTTTAGGAGATGTAAGATCACCGCTCCCACCGTCGGGAGGTACAACTCGGCGGCGGGCTGCCCGTCCACCGCTTTTGAACTGACGCAGAAATGCAGGAACAAACTCGATGCCGGCGCAAAACAGATATTCTCGGATCTCGCCCTGCTAGTGGGGGCGAACCTGGGCGGAGACGGGGAGAAAGAGGAAGTATTAAATAACAAGAACGCCAAGAGAGCGCTCCCGTACTCGTTGTTCAAGCTAAGATTCCCCGTTTCGTCGACGTACGTTGTTCTGAGTTTCCTGGAGAGCCGGTTGCACGGAGTCGTCTTTTTTGCGTACCGCCGAGACGAGGGCAACCCACCCCTGGACAGCATTCTGTTTGGACCGAAGGGCAATCTCGTTTGCGACCACCCTCTAGCGATGAGAACCAAAAGCAGCAGCGGGGACAATTCCTCCTCGTCGCCGACCAACTCCACGTGCATGTTTGGCTTCGACCTGCGCCAGGTAAAAGACTTCCAGGCCCTGCCGTCTCTCAAGGAGGACGGCTCGGCATCCCTGGATCTCGACAGCCCGTCTCTCGACCGCGTTCTGGGCTGGTGGATCGCCCGGAATTCCATCAAGGACCGGATGAAGTCCTTCCTCGGCTTCGACCCGACCTCGACGCTCGTTTCCGCGCTGGGACACAGGGACCCAGCCAACGGCTCGGACGATCGCTTCCAGGAAGGAGGAAAGAAACCCGGTGGCAGCACGACGAACAACAGCGGCAACGGCAGGAACAACGCTTCCGCGATTGCCGCCGCGGCGCCAAAGTCATCGCCCCCCGATTTGTCGGATCCGGCCTATTTGCTCACAACCAAATCGGTGATTGTGGATCTTGGAAACGCATGCTGGACCCACCGGCACTTTAGCGAAGATATCCAAACCAGACAATACCGGGCGCCCGAGGTCTTGATTGGCAGCAAGTAAGTAAAGTGCTATCGGTGCGCGGAATGGTTCGATGTGTCGATTTGTGGCTTGCTTCCGTGGTTGTCTCTAATAATCACGACTATGGTGGCCTAACTCCATTCCATTCTTTTTCTTCCTACTGCGTTTCGTTGCAGGTACAATACGTCGGCCGACATGTGGTCGCTGGGCTGCATGACTTTTGAACTGCTGACGGGTGATCTTTTGTTCGATCCCAGGGCAGGAGACGATTACGACCGCGACGAAGACCACCTGGCGATGTTTCAGGAGTTGCTCGGGCGGATGCCCAAGAGATTGGCGCTGGAGGGCAAGTACGCGAAACAGTTTTTCGACAAGAAAGGATCGCTCAAGCACATCAAGAGCCTCAAGTTCTGGCCCATCCAGGATGTATTGATCGAGAAGTACCACTTTTCGAAGGAGGACGCCAACGCGGTGGCCGATTTCATGCGGCCGCTGCTCGACTTTGACCCCAAAACGAGGGCTTCTGCCCTCGATGCCCTGCGGCACAAATGGTTGAGGTGATGATTACGATTATTACGACCAATCCTTATTTTAATTAAGCTTAGCTTTGCATGTACTATACGATTGCTACTGCTCCCGTAGGTTAGAAAAGGACGATGGCATCGAGATGAACAGCGACCTCTATGCAAACGCCGGGTATCGGTCGGAGAAAAAGCTCTCGGATCATGCAATCTTAATCGAATCGCTGCAGTAGCGCAGATTTCACAAGCCAAACAGCTATCGAGAGCAGGTTTTCGTGCTGGGATCGTAGAATCCTATTCTGGTATAATCGCTTTCTTAGTTATAAATAGTCTATTATTTTTATTCGAATCGGGAAACATACAACACGTTCCGAAAAGGCTGCAGTATGCGTTTCCTGCTAACATGATAGCAGCATTTAAGCAACCCAAGGAGCGGCACGACACGACAAGGCAAACGAAACGAACGACGTCGATTACAACTTGTTGCGGTGCAGAATGTTGCTTCCGTATTCTTCGTAGTCCGTCTTGGAGGTCCACATGGACTTGAAGGTCGCGAGGCTGCCCAGAATGGATCCACCGACAAAGGCGGAGTTCACGCGCTCCGGCGGGGCCGAGATTCGTATTTTCGTGTGCGAGGGGGACCGGGACCGGACCTCGTACAGCATGCGGTCTCCAAAGCCCGGCAGGAGGGTGGACCCACCGGCCAGGACCACCTGGGAAAAGAGGGTGGACCTCAGGTCGATGTCGCTCTTCATGATGGAATCCACTAGAATGTCGGCGACTCCGGCCTCCTCGGATCCGATGAGGGACGGATCGAAGAGGATATTCGGGGCCTCGTAGCGCTCCTTCGAGAGGGTGACGGCCTGCCCGTCGGGCAGCGTGTATTGCGTTCTCGAGTCCTTCTCCATCGACTCGTCGGCAACGGGGGTTCGTGTCACGAAGCACGATTCCTCCTTCATGGTTTTAACGAGGTCCGCCTCGGCCGTCGTGGTGAACGAAAGGCCCGACCGGCGGAGGAGGAGCTGCATCTGGCGCGTGACGTCCCTCCCGGCGACGTCGCTCCGGGTGACCGAGTGGGGGAGGGCAAAGCCCTCGTAGACGGGAACAGCGTGTGTGACACCCTCACCGACGTCTAGAACGACACCGGTGGTTCTTCCGGAGGCGTAGAGACTGAGGACCGCTGGTGGGGCAAAGAAGAGAGCGGGGGCCCGAAAGGTCTCGAAGAAAATCTCGGCCATGCGGTCCCGGTTCTGGCAGGGGTTGAGAGGGGCTTCTGTCAGCAGCACCGGGTGGTCTTCGGCCTTGACGTTGATGCCTGGTTTGGAGTAAATGTGCTGTTATTTGTAGCACAAAGTGTTGTAACGTGAATCCGTCATTGGATGGCAAGGCAACGACGTAAAACAAAGAAAAGAATCAGAAACCTGTGCCGCGGTATGATACAACATCTTCTGCAAGTCAAAGCAAGCCGAGAAATGTTCGATCGTCTAGCATTGTATTGTCTGCCATGCTGCGATCACGGAATGCACGATCACCGAAGTCAAGGCGGATCTCCTTGACACTACAAAACACTCAACGTACCTCCCAAAGGGCTTCCATGCCGTCCCATCCTCCGTCCACTATGTGCCCCTTGTCCATGGGGTATTCCAGGAGAAAGGCTCCGCGGTGCTCGTCCAGTTTCTTTCCGACGAATATAGAGGAGGGTCCGGAGGACGACAAACTCTGCTCGGTCTCCAGCGCACCACCGGGCATGATCCGTGTGTGCTTGGTTCTGCCCACCTTCGTGCCGATCACGACCTGTTGCGATGATTTGTGTTGTTCAGTATTTTTGATAATTAGATTGTGTCATTTGTTGAGTCGGTATCGCATTGCGGGTTTTAATAGTGTTCGGAAATGCCAAAATAAAACATCGGTTAGAAAGAGAATCAGATAGGACACTGGCAACACCTATAACAATCGTCACGCTGTAGGAAATATTCACACGATCTCCTTCAAATCCCTGGTATTGCATCCGCTGGCTTCTTTCCTCGGAAACAGACCAGCAGGCGGGAAAAGGTAACCCAACAAAAACCTAAGATCAACAGAATCATCCGAGCCAGCATTTCATAATACAGGTCGAGCCAAACAACTCGCCTTTGGCTTCGTCTTTCCGGCAAAGCCGGCCTTCAGCGTTCCAGTTCCGTTATCGATGACCACGGGCTGGTTGAGGAGCAACGAGCTGCCCGAGGCATCCCCGGTTGTTTCTTCCGATGCCATTTTCTTGCTGCTTGTTGTTGCTTTTATTTACTGAACTTCTTATTTCGTTCGAAAACGAGATGCCAACTGACGAACAAGCTAACGATTTGAACTGTCCGGCAATGATAGTCGTTGGATGCGTTTGTTGGGTGCAGCGGCAACTCATTAGTGTCCCTATTACTAGTCACTGTCGTATCATACGGTACGTAGGAGTTGACCGGCTTTTCTTACGGTAGGATGCACGCATCGGCAGCGGAGGCATTCTTGATAAAAGCGCTAACTCAGTACCGTAATTCTCAGAGGCGGTAGCAATAAACAACGACTGATTCGACTAAGTGTATTGTTGACTGATGGAGGTCTCGATTCGTTCGACAAGGAAAATTCTAAATTCTTCCATTGCCATTCAGGAGCGCTTCGTCTTGTGAGAAGTCGTTCGTGGAGCACCTCATCATTACTAGAACTATGTACACTGTACGATGGGGATAGTACTGTATGTACGATAGTATTTTTCTTTCATCGGAAGAGTCGGAGGGTATCGACGACAGACGGAGGAGGGAGAGAAAGGGAGAATAATTTTGAAATTTTTTATGATTTCAATCACTTTCATACCTCATACAACAGTCTCAATCAACACTTCCACGCCGTACTCGTACTCTTACTTCAATCGAACATGAGTGGCTTATGATCTATTTCCTGAACACCGCAAGCAACGAAAGAACCATTCTTTGCTCAGCTTAATATAATTCACAGCACATGAACCAAACAGACGGTGCCCGTTGTCCGTTCCGTGAATGAATTGAATTTCACCACGGGAAACGATTGAAAACGAAGCGATTGTTCGTCATGGGGGGGCTTGCTATTGCCAGTGTCAGAGTCCCACCATGCATTGTTGGATTGGTATTTGCGCTATGCTATTTGCTAGAAATGAGAGCGGCATTTGTCCCTCTGGTATTACGAACAAATCAATGGCAATCACCAGGACACAGAACAACAAATGGACGGCTCCCATTCAGAACTAGAAGCGTCGGTGCACACCGGCGAGCGTTTGCCACCGCGAGGCGATCAGCCACCGCAACCAAAGCCAGTGACAGCAACAACGACGATGGACCACCAACAACCGATTCTTCTCCCGATGACACCATAATTCCGGAAAAAATCCGCTGGATTTTCGAAGAGGCGGACGGTGATTTTCTAGACGACGAGGACGACGATGATTCCTTTTTCGACGATCTGTTCCTGACCGACGACGAAGAATATGATGACTACGATGACACCGGAGGGTTCCTCGTGGACGACAGCGACGAGGACGGTCCCGGTGCCGGCCTCAGCGAAGACGATCTCATGGAACTGCACGACGTGTATGCCGACACCAGTCTCCCACGCGATCCAGCAGAAGCGCCACCGCCCGCAACCGAACCCATGGCTAGTGGGTCACCGATCCCTCCAGGCGCAGAAGAATCCATTGCCGCCAGCACCGTTGCAGCCGCCGCGCAAACCAGCGGCAAAACTACGAACGCGGTGTCGATGGAAAACATCCTGGCCTCGCTCGAATCGGATCTGTCCTACTTTTATCTCCGCGACGAACTGGGCATCACGGAAGACACCATGTGGAAGATCACCAACGATGCGCCGTCCGTTCTCGGATTCAAAGCAAACAATGTCCGAAACAAGGTAAAGGTCCTGCAGTCCCTGGTTGGTTTAACCGATGACGAGATTCGGCAGCTGATCACCTTGCAACCGACGCTTCTGCAGCTCAGCGCCAAAAAGAACCTCGCCCCTACCATACTATACTGGATCCGTCGGCTGGAGATCGGAAAGGAAGAGCTTAGAACACTGATCCTGGGCTGCCCAAACCTGTTGAAATTTTCAAGGGCCAACATCCACAGAAAACTCGTATTTTTCCAAACCACCATGGGATATACCGTTTCCGAATGCCGCAAGATCCTGTTGAAGGACCCACGCCTGCTCACGTGCAGCGTCAAGACCGGATTGATCCCGCGGCTCAGATTTCTGCACAAGGAAGTCGAAATATCCTTGCCCGACATTCGAAAGATTGCCCTAAAAAATCCATCCATACTGCGCATGAGCGTCGAACAAAACCTGACCCCCAAGTGCATCTTTTACTTCATACTAACGCTGCACATGGAAAACAAGGACGTCGCTAAAATGCTGCTGAAGTACCCCCGCATACTGAACTACAACCTCGAGCACCACATTCTCCCCATCCACCACTATTTTCTGAGCCTCGAATTCTCCACCTACGAGTTTTCCTACATCCTCCAGCGCTACCCGCGCCTGATCACCTACAGCCTCATGCGGATCAAGCGCCGCATCGGGTATCTGAGGTACGAGCTCTCGCTGGAGGCGAAGGCGGTCCGCCGCATTCTGCACTATTGTCCCCAGATCATTTCGCTCGGCCAAGACAACCTGGAGGAAACCATCGGGTTCTTGCTCAACGCCGTCGCCCCCGGGGCAACGCTGTCGGCCACAACTACCTCGACGAGCACCAGCGAAAGCGGACGTCGTTCTTTCTCTGGGAGCGATTCCCCGGCCGACGAACTGGTGGAAACGGACGACCGCGATGCCCTGGCCATTGTCCAAATCTTGGTCACCAGCCTGCCCACTCTTGTGGCCCTGAGCATCGAGAACAATCTCTCGCCCAAGGTGGACTACCTACGGGAAAAACTGGGCCAGGAGGAACTCTCCGGCGCCCTCCTGAGGATGCCCGCACTGCTGGGCTACTCCCTCGAGAAACGGATCCGGCCGCGGCTGGAGCGGCTCGAGGAGTGCGGGATCCCCCTCGGGACGATCACGCAGGCCATCACCCTCCGGCAGGACCTGTACGAGGAATGGGTGGAAAAACGGGTCCGGAAGCAGGCGAAGCAGCGGGAGCAACCGGCAAAACAGCGCAAGCCAAGGGGGCTTGCGCGGAAAAAGACGAAAACGGCCGCCGCCACGCGAGCCCGCAAGCGATCCACCGTTTCCAAACGGAAGCCGGCAGAAGGAGTCCCCCCCGCGGTTTCAGCAGCAGCTGGGAGCGCGAGTGACGTCGACGTCGACGTCGACAACAACAACAACAACAATGACCATGACAACGACACAAAGAGCAGGGCTACGGCAAAAGGGGAAAGCACAGACGGCAAGAACACCGCTACAACCGAGGGGGGACGGGTCGTGGAAGATGGCGGGAAAATAATCCACTGGCGCCGTAGGTGACAGCTACAAACGGAGAGGTATTGTGAACAACCAACCAACATCGTATAACATACCGTAGTACGTAACACTACTAAAACACACCAATCAGTCGGTTAAATGCAATGTCCTTTCAAAGAAAATTAAATTCTTTTTCGGTTCGTTTTGCAATGTTGTCATATTGTAATACTTGTGCTTTTAATATAGACTTCCGACACTAGTGCTCCTACTCTACGCAGCATCTAGCAAATTTGGCGCGTTCGTTTCGTTTCATTGTAAAATATGATAGGGTTAAGGTTCACATAATTTAGAAGAACAGTACGGTAAGCTTCTCACGGCAACGAAGCTTCTCACACTGCGAGACAGCCCTCACAATTCCTTACATCGGCGTTCGGATTTGCGATTTACGGACCCATCGACGGCTTACAAAATTCCGCACTCTGCCGTTGCAAATCGTCCAGTGAAGTGGAGCAAGACTGAAACAAAACAAACCAGATCAGACTCAAATCATGCGATACAGCACGTCCAGCGGAACAACGATTGCAATGAATATCCGTAAGTTTTTGAATGCTGCTAGCGAAGATCAAACGACCATCGGCAAGCAAGTGCAGCAGACGCACCCCGCTCCTCTCAACGGTGGATAGTCTCGTTCCTTTCTCTTACCATATTTCTCCTCCTTCCCTGGTTCTTCTGTTTCCCCAGTCCGTCTGCTCGCATGGCTGGTGATGGCTTCCAACCCGGTGGCCAAGGCCGAGCCCACCCGCATCGCCCTCCACAAGCGATCCAACGACGAGCTGGTCTCCGCCCACCTGGCCCGCGAGCGGGAGGCCCGGCGCAGGGGCGGAAACGGCCGCCTCCGGGGCCTTTCCGGGCAGGCCGGGGCGAGCGTCGCCATCAAGGACTACGAGAACGCCCAGTACTTTGGCGTCGTCGAGCTGGGCAGCCCGCCGCAGTCCTTCCGGGTCATCTACGACACGGGCTCCTCCGACCTGTGGGTCCCGGGGGTCGGGTGCACCCACTGCGGGATCCCCTTTGGGCCCGCCAAGAGCAAGTACGACGCCTCCGCCAGCGCCACCTACGAGGACGGGGGTGGCGAGGCCTTTGCCATTTTGTACGGGAGCGGGAGCGTCCGAGGGGCCTACGCCCGGGACAAAGTGTCCATGGGGGAGGCCGGATCGGTGGTGGTGGTGGTGGAGAACCAGGACTTTGGCAGGGTCTCCGACGCGGGCGGCCTCGGCCTCCTGTACGGCCTCGGGCGGTTCGATGGGATCCTGGGGCTGGGTTTTTCGAGCCTCAGCGTCGGCCTCAAGACGACCGTCTTCGAGAACGCCATTCGCCAGCACGCGGTCGACCAGCCGGTCTTTGCCTTTTCGCTGGGCAGGGAGGACGGCGAACAAGGGGAGCTGACCCTCGGTGGGTACGATGCCTCGAAATTCGAGGGCGACGACCTGGCCTTTGTGGACCTCGAGGAGGCCACCTACTGGCAGATCGTCCTGGACTCGGTCCGCGCGGGAGAAAACTACGACAAGACCACGGCGGCCGACGGGGGCCCCGTCACCGCCATTGTCGACTCGGGAACCTCCTTCCTGGTGGCGCCCAAGGCCGAGGCCGACGCGCTGGCGAGGGCGGTCGGCGCGAGGCCATCCCTTGCCCCCGGCGAGTACACCATCGGCTGCGACCGGGTCGGGGAGATGCCCGACCTGGAATTCGGGATCGGCGGGAAAACCTACACCATCCCGGGCCCGGCGGCCGTCATCGAGTCGGGGGGGACCTGCCTCTTGGCCCTCCTGGGCCGGTACGCCAACCCGCTCGGGCCGCAGTGGATCCTGGGCGATGTCTTTATGAGGGAATACTACACCGTGTTTGACTACCTCGGCCGGAAGGTGGGCTTTGCCAGGGCGGTCCAGAGCCCCCCGGGCGGTGGAGGGGAGGAGACAGCCGGCGGCGATGCCGACCACGACCACGAACACGACGACAATGCCGTTGCACGCACGGCCCTCGGGGGAATGCGCGACGGCCACGGGTGCCTCGTTGCCGCCGGGTACGCCTGGTGCGTCTCCCCGAGGGGGTGCTACCGCCCGTGGGAGACGCCCTGCGGGGACCGGGCCTCGCGGACCGATGGAGGCAAGGTTGACTAGGAAGGTTTGGTCGATCGCCGAGAAACCGCGGTGCCGGGCCCAGCGGCGGGCGCAGCGGAGGCCCGAACAAACGCTTTGCACAGTTCGCAATTGTCGTACGTGAATGAATAGGTATCTACAACGACCCGAGTTCGCAGATGGTAGTACCGTGTTACTAGGTATTTATTATAGTTTCCCGTTCCCATTCTTGTTCCCTCTTTGCCATTATTGTGCTTGTTTCGGAATAGCCAGCATTCGTTCTGCAAAAAGAATACCGTAGAACGATGCTGGCTCCGCACAGCGGCATTATTGTTTTTCAATATCGTTCCCTCGTTCTTTCCCTCGCAGCGATTGGCGGTGGCTCTGAAACTAGAAGTAACAGTTCTGCGTGCCTGGGCATAGCATTGCGTAAAATACAAAACCACCCCGTTGGCTTGGCTGGGAGAGATCTGGACCACTCGATCCGATCGAAGCGACCCCATGGTGCAAAACATTCCCGATCCCAAGCCGCGGTCTGGCGCACCGCACCGCATTGCATTGCATTGCATCGCATCCGTCCCTCGCTCCGTGTCCGAGCACCGCGAGTGCTAGCCGGGCCGCGGCTTCTTGCTCTTGTCCTCCGCGTCGAGAACGGGGGCCCGTTTCCGGGCGTTTGGTGTCGCGCCTGGTTCCGGCCCGTCGGTCTTCCAAGGCGCCCCTTCCGGTTCCGGCAGTTTCGCCCGGCCCAGGACCCGCCGGACTTGCTTGAAGGCCGCCGTCTCGATCCACACCAGGGCCTTTGGCCCGATCGGGGCCTTGTTGGCCACCCCCGTCCGGGGGTCCCTCCACCCCACGAGAACGTGCGGCGCAAGCGGCGCCGACGCGGCCAGGACGGCGCGAATGCCCGTAAGGAGGGCTTCGACCTCCCCCTTCGACCGGTAGCCCGCCAGGCCGTCCTTGGAGAGGTCCCCAAAGGCCAGGAAGCACCGGGTAGGATCGGCGGGTGTTTCGCCTCCGCCTCCGGTGGCGACCCCACGGCCGGCCCCCTTCGGCAGCCGGTTCGACCGGAAGCTCCTGGCCCCCGTTTCCGTCCCGAGGGTCCGCCTCCGGCGCAGGAGGTGGCGGGCGTGGGAGTAGAGGGCGTCGGCCATCGCCACGCGCTCCTCCCGGGGGTCCCTGGAGGCGGCCCTCGCGGCCTCCAGGTCCCGGCCCCGCTCCTCCGCCCGGGCCCGGACCCGCTCGTCGATGGTGGTCGGCGCTTTTGAGGGGGCCGAAGGAAGAAGGGCGCCGGCCCCCCTTCCGAGCAGCCAGTCCACGGAGGGCCTCTTCGAGCCGCTTGCGTCCGCGTTGGCCTTTGCCTTGCGTGGTTTCTCCTGTTTCGCCGCTTCCCGCAGGAGCTCCAGTTTCGCTGCCGCCTCCCGGAGGAGCTCCAGGGCCCGGTCGGACAGGGGTTCCGGCACCCCGAGGGTCGCTGCCTCCCTTGCCAGCCTCCGGAGCTCCCGGATCCGGTGGGCGGCGCCGGGCCCCTCGGTCACCGCTTCGAGGGAGAGCAAGGCCACCGCCCTCCTCCGCCGCTCCCGGCCGGTGGAAGGGGGGGATTCCCCGGCCGGTCCCCTTGTTTTGCCGCAAGCCGCCTCGTACAGCACCGGAACGCCCAGGCAGTAGAGGTCGTGCCACAGGTGCTCCTCCCGGGTGATCCCCGAGAGCCGGCCGCTGGGTTCAGGGGTGCTCGGGGCGGCGGCCGTTTTGTTCCTTTCGGGACCCTCGCCATCGCCGTCCACAACGCGAACCCCCGCCGCTTCGATCCTGGAGGCGATCCCCCGAAACTCGAAAAAGGAGATATTGTCGCTGTCCTCGGCGCCCTCCTGCTTTTGCTGGAAGCGGTGAAGCTCCAGGGCGCTCTCGAGCCGGACCATGTCCGCCTCGCTCACCGCGAGCTTGATCCGCGGGGGATCCTCCGGCGTGGTTGGCCGCACAACGGGCTGTTTTGGCCCCCCGGGGCTCATTCTGGGCGGAGGGTGTGGGGTGTTGTGTTGTGTTGTGTGTTGTGTTGCGCGGTGTGTGGTGTTGTGTGGTGTGGTGTGGCGTATTTTCAGGGGTGTCTGTGGTCCGTTCTGGAACGATTTCCTTCGGTTCGCTTGCGGCCAGCTCGTGTCGTTGCTGTTGCTGTTGCTCGCGTGGGTTGGTGGTTCCGGATGATCCCGATATTCTCTCCTCGCTTTGTTTCCTTCCATCCAAAGAGATTTGGATTGGAAACACCGGTTTGCGTTGTTTGAGTTTTGGCGTGGATTGTGCATCGGGGATAGACAACAGATAGAAGAAGTACTACAGTACCGTACCGTACCGTACGGTACCTGGTACCTACCGATCGGGCTGTCAAAAGAAAGCGATCCCTGCCGCACAATGTTTGGTGGATGCCTTTTTAACGGGGGATGGCCGGCCCCCCGATTCAAAGCAAGGTGAAGAGCAAACTCCGTTCAAAACCACATGGTCCAATCTGTCCTTCGTCCGTACCGTACCCGTCCCACGAGCGAGCGATCTGGAATTCGAGATGATATTTTCGTATTCCTCCATTCAAAACTGTGGATGATTGCTCGATCACAACAACTACTGTAACTCACTCGACCCGAACGATCCAAGTTTTTTTATAATATTATCAAGGGCTTTATTCTCAAACAGGTTCGGCGTACCCGCAAGCAGGGGTCATAATTTAGACCCCTGCCAGCAAGTACCGTACAGGGCCCAAGAATTATGACCCCTGGAGTTGTGTTCCTCTCTTCTCCTGGCATCGAATCTTTGTGTCCGTTTCGTTTCGTGTCGTCTGTCGTCTGGTTCGGTTCTTCTTGCCTCGTAAAGGGTTGAACTCTCGTCCAAGATCTCTAAGCGATTCACACAGCATCCACAACGCAAACACAGAACACCGCTGCAATACACCGCACTGCACTCCAATTCCACGCACAAACACTACACTACACTACACTACACCTTTCACAGCCATGCCCAAGCCGACCGTCCTCCGCTGCGACCCCGAGCTCTTCGAGAAGGACCTCACGGGCCGCATCGCGATCGTCACCGGGGCCAACTCGGGGATCGGCCTCGAGATCGCCCGCCAGCTCTCTTCCCAGGGGGCACACGTCGTCGTAGCCTGCCGGAACCGCGACCGGGGGACCGACGCTTCCAAGGAGATCGGCGACGGGTCCTTTCTGGCCCCCCTGGACCTGGCCTCCCTGCAGAGCGTCCGGGCCTTTTGCGATTCCTTCTTGGGGGCCTACGACCGGCTCGACATTCTGGTCAACAACGCCGGGGTCATGATGTGCCCCGGGTCGAAAACGGAGGACGGCTTCGAGACGCAGCTCGGGGTCAACCACCTGGGCCACTTTCTGCTGATGCGGCTGCTGACGCCGGTCCTGGTGGCAACGGCAAGGTCCACCGGCAGGCCCTCGCGGTTCGTCGCCCTCTCGTCGGTCGCCGCCGCCGAGTGCGGGATGAACGGCAAGCACGGGGCCCCCTCGATCGGCTTCGAGGACCCCATGTTCGAGACCCGGCCCTACGACGAGGGCGTCGCGTACGGCCAGAGCAAGCTGGCCAACTACCTCCACGCGCTCGAGGCGAGCCGCCGGATCCCGGCCGACCAGCTGGTCTCCACCAGCAACCACCCCGGGTGGGTCTACACCCCCCTGGACAAGCACGTGGCGGCCAAGGTCCTCGGGACGAACCCGGTCTCCGAGTTCCTCGCCGAGGGCCTCCGCCGGTTCTTTCTGTGGACCGGCCACATGATCCAGCCGGTCGACGGGGCCCAGACGACCCTCCACTGCGTCCTGGACGAAAGCGTGGAGAGCGGCCGCTTCTACTCGCAGTTTGGCATCTACAAGGACGAGGCCTTCAAGCCGGGGGGCTGGCCGATGGAGCGGATGCCCAACCCCAACGCGACGGAGGAGGCCGCCGAGAAGCTCTGGGAGCTCTCGGAGAAGCTGGTGGGCCTCTCCGGGTCCGACACGCAATAGCCGCCGCCGTAGTTTGGTTGGTTGATTGGTTGCTTCGTTGGTTGCTTCGTTGGTACATCGGTTCGCTCGTTCGCTAGTGGGCACCGTGGCACAGCAGCAGAGAAGGAACGAACGAACGAACGAACGAACGAACGAACGACCTTGCAACGTGGCACCTACTAGTAGTAGCCGAGAACGGACTCCTCGTATCGTAGCCGGTTCTGTTCGTAGCTACCAGCAGGACAACGATATTCGTGCAACCCATCCGGCGCGAATGGGAACAAGCAGGGGCAACTGAACTTGGCAGGAATTCGCTTTCCTAATACTGTACCAGTAGAAGTACTAGTGTTGCATCACCAATGAACTGTGAATAGAAAATAGCAAAAATAGCATGAAAATTGGTAGCAGGAATTGACGTAAATTTTCTTTTTTCGAAATTTCAAAATAATGCAAAAATGTTGTTTCCAAAGAAGTCTTGCCTTCAACCGTTTTTTGGATTCGTCGTTCCCGTATCCCGTAGAGACGAGATTGCGTCAAACATCGATCTCACGGTGCGGTGGGGACCAAAAAAAACTACGGAAGCGAATACGGTACTGCACAACACCTACCCTACCTTTGTAGCAGAACGGCAGGCAGGAAACCTGTAGGGTATTGTTTTGTTTGGATTGATTGTTGTCACCAAAGTCCCATCGCAACGCGCAGGAGCGACGACACCACAACGCCGAACCCACCCTCGGCACCTCTCGTATTCACAACCACCCCAACCATGGCGACGGCTTCCACCCGGATGCTTCTCGCCTCGTGCGGCAGGCGGGCGGCGGCTTCGACCGCTCCAACCGCGCCCCCCCTCCGGTCCGCACCGGCCCCTTCCTTTGGGCGCTGTGGCCCGCGCCGGAGAAGCCCTCCCGCCCGGGGGTCCCTTCGGCCCCTCGCGGTCCGCTTCTTTGGGAGCGGCGACCCAAAGGAAAGCGACGATCCCTTCGGGGTGCACTTCCAGGACGGGGACGACCTGGGAAGCCTCGGGCCGGAGTCCCCGCCGCGCTACAAGCGGGACGCCGTCACCGGCAAGTTCACGGGGGAGAAGGAGGAGGAGCTCACGGACCGCGAGAAGAAGCTCCTGAACATGGACCCCCTCCAGGAGCAGGACTACCTCCTGGACAAGGTCCTGGCCGGCTGGGACCTCGAGGCGCCGGAGGGCGGGGGCGAGCCAATCAAGCTCTCGGCGCTGGCCCGGCGGATCCGGGAGGACAACGCTGGCCTCACCACCCTCGGCCGGAGCACCGAGTCCCAGTCCTACACCGGGAGGCTGGAGGACGGGGAGGAGGCCCACCGCGACGAGACGGGCTTCTCCAAGCCCCTGAGCCCGTCGGAGTTTGCCGCCCTAAGGGCCTATTTGAGGGAGGAGGACGGCGCCGAGATCGGCGAGGACGAGATCCCCGTGGAACCGGCGAACGAGGCCTCGGTCCTGGGCGGCTACGCCGACACGGAGGAGCTCAACGCGAGGTGGAGGTCCTCGAGCGCGATGAGGTTCATGGACGACACCCTGGACGACGATCCCTTCTCGGACCTCCTCCCGTCCGACCTCAGCCCGACCCTCCTGGTCAACCGCCGGGAGGCCAAGCCGATCCCGAAGCACCTCCTCCACCACAACAACCTGGCGCTCCTCCGGAGGTACATCACCCCGTCGGGCCAGATCATGAACCGGGTCCAGTCCCGCTTGGGCGCGAAGGACCAGCGGAAGATCGCCAGGCTCATCAAGCGGGCCCGGTACCTGGGCCTCATCCCCAACAGCGGGCAGTTCGTGGTGGAGGACCACGGGAGCGTCCACGAGGACGACCTGGGCGAGGACAAGGAGTGGGAGGCCGAGCTGAAGCGGAGGGGCCTGGTGGTCGGGAAGGAGCAGCAGCGCACAAGCACGAACGGGCCGCGCCGGTAGGAAGCGGGACCCTGGAGCGAGGCCACCGCCGAGGCGCTATGGCACAGCGGGACGAACTAGACTAAACAAACATCGAACCTTGTATCCCTTGAAAAAAATTACGTACATCTAATCTTTATGGCGTGACTCGTAGCAATCTGTTGGCACCGTTGTTTTCCAAAGAACCGTGCGCTCACGAGCTCCTGCCAAACCTCCGCCCTCCTCAGAACACAAAGACGTCCTCGAGGCAGTTTCGCAGGAGCTCCAGATCGGTCTCGGTGTGCTCGTGGTTCCGGAAGCAGAGGGGGGAGGGCCCCTCGCCCGTCTTCTTGCCGCCGCCGTCGTCCCGGGTGGGTGGGGAAGACCCCCCGTCGCCGGAACCGGAAGCAAGGCAAAAGCGTACCCCCGCGGGGGTCGTCCGCGAGGCTTGATCCGCCGGTGGGGAGCCGCCATTGTTGGACGGGACCGGCCCCTGGCCGCTTTCTCCGTGGATTGCCCCAACGGCCTCGGCCGTGTTCCCCGGTCCCCGGCCCGGCCGCTCCCGCGTTCTCACAAAGAGGGGACTCTCCACCGCCCTGGCCGCCCAGGACAGCATGCGGACCCCGTCGTCGGAGGGGGAGGACAGCGAGGTCGATGGCGACGGAAACGGAGACCCGGTGGACGGGTTTTTGCCGAGGAACGGCGACGGCGATTCCTCCAGCACGAGAGACGACGAGGACGACAAGACCAGGGTCGACTTGCTCCCCTGGAAGGCCAGCGAGAGCCGGGACGACTCGGGCGTAGAAAGAGAAGTCCGTACCGACGGTGCCAGGGACGGCGACGACGACGGGGACGAAGACAGCGACGACCGGTTGCTGGCCCGGGGGGTCGGAACAATGGGGGATGGGGTCTTGAGGAAGCTCACCGTGAGGAGCGAGTCGGGGAGTGGACTCGCTCCGGGGGCATCGCTGTCACCGCTGGTGGTGGCACCCCCGGCGTGCGGGTTTGTCTTGTGCTGGAGGTAGTGCGACAGAGGTGGCGGGGACCAGAAGGAAAACCTGGTGGAGGACCTGCCGTTGCCGCCATCGCTTCGGTTTCTGTTGTGGCGGCGAAACGGAGAGGGCGTCTTCAAAAAGTTGTCGGCGGCACTTGTTTTGACAACGGTCTTGTGGGTTCTGGAGGATTTCCTGCTTCGTTTTTTCTTTTTGGTGCTATGGCTCTTGCACTTGCTGCCGGTATCATTCGACCGCGACAGGAGCTGTTCCTGTTCCTGTTCCTGTTGCAGATACGGAGCAGGAGTATTCTTCGGGCCGTCGTTTTGGACCTGGAAGTTGTCGCTGTCGCCGTTGTTCTGGGTCAATCGTTTCTGCTTTTTCCGTGGTGGCGGACTGCACGGACTCCATTCCCTCTCGGGTACTACCGAGTGAGGACGAAGGCGAACGGAGTCGCCCAAGGCTTTCGAATCGCCTTCGGTGCCGGGAGGTCTCGGTGCAGGCTGCTGCTCAGCTGCCGGATGTTCTTTGCGCATCGATCTCGTTGCCGGTTTGGATGGGTTCTTGGCGGGGGTCGGTTTGGGTGGTGGTTTTCGTTTCTTTTGCTCCCGTTCCCGGGCTCTGATTTCTCTCTTGTGTTTCCCGGGGAGGTACGGGAGGAGGTCCGGAAGCTCGCGCATGGGATCGGGAATGTCCCGGTAGAAGCAGGCGTGGTGATACTCCTTGTACCGGGAATGGTTCCGGGCGTAGTTCATCGCCGTAGTGGCGGCATCGGAATTCCCCTGGATGCGGAGGGCGAACCCGTAGTTGTTGAGCTGCCGGGAAAAGGAGAGCCACCTGGAATCTGTGCGAGTTGAACCAAGCCGATGCAACACAAAACAAACCAAATAGATACGGAAGCACGAGTGAGAGACAAGACACTTGTTGTTGGTACAGAATGCGATGGGATGGAGGCGGGAACGACTCTATACAGTATACTCACGCTTGAAAAACCGCTTGAGGACCGATTGGAGGCCGGGGTGTTTGGAATCGATGTGGAAGGAGCTTCCGTCGCAGGACCAGCGACACACACCGGGGTGTTCCAGGGTGGACCACTGGATCATCTCGAAAAGCTTGCAGGGAAACGGATGGTTCTGGGTATGCATGGCTGTGGCTGTGGCTGTGGCTGCGGTGGCACGAACGGGCGGGGGATCCTCCGGCAAGGGGTCTGCTCGTGGCTCTCCGCAGCCCGCTACGACCCGGAGGGTCCGGATCGTCCCGGCGGGGCGGCCATCGCTGCCTACGGGGGAGGGAGGACCGGGATCGAGGTGGAGGATCGCTAGGGTGATGGTCGGAAGGGTCTCTGGGTCCGGAGTGCCCGCGGTGTCCTCGGCACCAGTGTCAATCGGATTCGAAGGGGACTGCTCGTGGGCGGAGACCACCCTTTCGGGTGGGTTCTCGGCCTTGGTTCTGGAAGGGTCCCCGGGTAGGACAGCCCGCTTGGTTCTTGGTGGTGGTCGGTGGTCTTTCTTGTGTCCTTTCTTCTTGCACCCGCTGGCAGCTGCCCTCCTTCCGGAGGCCTGCTGTGGTCTTGCGTCCCGCCGCGAGAGGGGGGTCACGACCTCGGCGGGGGATCGGCTCGGAGGGGCCCTTTCCCCGCTCCCCACCGGCTCCGGGGTGGGCTGGGCTCCCGCCACCAGCGCTCCGGAAGCCCCGGCGGCTATCACGCGGGGGCTTCGCCGCCTCCGGGGCACCAACGGTCTTCGGGGTTCGTCTCTCTCGGTCCCCCCTGCGATCGGATCGCCCCGGGAGGATTGCTGGTGGTGCGGGGTAATGGTGGCCACGGGGTGGCTCGGAACGGCGTCGGGTGCGGCCGGGGGGTCTGCCCGGCCGCCGGAGGGCGACCCCCCGCGGCTCGTTCGGCCCGGGAAAGCCGAGGGGGCGGCTTGGACCATTGCGTCGCTTCCGGGACGGTCCGCCGGGGGAAGAGGAGGAGGATGCGCGGGCTTGGCGCCGCCGGGAGCCGAAGAAGACCCGCACGCGATCGGGGTCGGACAGGAGAGGGCTGCGTCCGGTACCGGGGATCGGTTGCCGGTCATTGGTTTTGTGGGTGGGCAGGGAGGAACAATCGTCGGAAAAGAAACTGCGAAGAGCCAGGGAAGGTTGGCATTCGTTCCGCAAGAAAACGCAAGAAAAGCAGAATAAAATGAAATGAAATACAATGAGCCTTGGATTCGAGTCGAGAATGAGATTTCGAAGCACGCAAGCAAGCATTCAAGGAAGGAATGCGGGAGGCGCTGCAGCTCCGAGCGAGCAAGCACTACGGTTTAGACCGCGCAGCAAGCCGGACCGCTACGGAGCAGAGGAAGGAGGAGCGGCGATGCGATGCGGCTGTAATGCGATACGATTCGATTCGATTCGATTCGATTCGATTTGATGCGATGCGATGCAGTGCATCGCACAATTCCGTTGCCAAGGCCAAGGAATGCGAATACGACTGCGTTTCCTATGCCCGTATCGCCCCGACCGTCTTGGTTCCGTTGGTCGGTATTGGAGAAATTCTCGGGTTTTCGTTGTCTTCTTTTAGTTGGTAGCGTAGGCAGTCACACTTGAGACAACGGATGTCGAAAACACGGGAGGGACAAATTTAGTTTTTCCTACTAGTATTTTGATTGCCACAAATACGAGTACGTACGAGTACTGGTACGTACGATTATCGTACTGAAGACCTAATCGTTGAATTGAGTCGTGACTCGATGGATGACTCACGGATCGAGCCACCACTTCGACGATTGGTTTAGCTTGTGGCTCGGGAATGACAAACGAAAATCCATTTCGAAACAAATACAAAGCCAACTAGAAGTACAAAACTAAGAAAAAGCAAACGTAACAAGCAAGCTATGAACAATGGTATTGTGATGGGATGGGATGGGACGGCGTGGCGTGGCGAGTCAAGCCAAGCCAAGCCACCAATCTCGCCGTTTTGTTATTTTCGTTCCTGCCCTCCGCTTCTTGGGGTTTTCACTTCGCTTCGCTTCACTCCCTCACCCGCTCCAAAAAGTCCAGGATGAAGGGATTGACCAGCTCCGGGGCCTCGTCGTGGGGGCAGTGCCCGATCCCGTCGAGGGGGACGACCTTCTCGACGCAGGCCTTGGAGGCGAGGGCGTCGACCCGGGCCGGGGGGGTCCACGGATCCTCCCTCCCGTAGGTGACCCAGACCGTCTTTTTCTTCCCGCCGGCGCCTCCCTCCTCCATCGCGCCGATCTCGTCCAGCTGCTGCTCCGGGAGGGGCCCGGCGCTGTAGGAGAGCGTGTCGAAGACGACCTTGCTGGCGCCCTCCAGCAGGAGGGGGTCCAGCAGGACGTCGACGAGGGTGTCGTCGATGGCGGACCGCACCTTGTAGGGTTCCTTGAGGATTTCCTTCACGGTCCCGGGGGTGGCGAGGGCGTCGAAGAGGCCCTGGCCTTTTTCCCGGAGGGTCGCCTGGATCGCCCGGACCACCGGCATGCTGACGCCCGGGAAGGGGATCTCGGCGCTGTGGAGCTCCCGAAAGTTGGGCGTCACGACGCAGACCCCGTTGAAGAGGTCCGGCTCGTCGATGACGGCCTGCAGCGCGCTGATGGTCCCGATCGAGTTGCTCACGAGCGAGATGGGCTGCTGCTGCTGCTGGTCCTTGGCGCCGCCTCCGAACAGGGGCAGGCCAAAGGGGGACCGTTGGCTGGTCTCGCCCCCGCGGATGACGTCCCTGGAAAAGTCCCGCAGGAGGTCGCTCCAGGTGTAAAAGTTGTAGGGGGACCCGATGGGGTGGCCCAGCTCGACGTCCCGGATGCGGGTCCGCTTCCCGCCGGCGGTTCCCAGCGCCACGCCCCTCTTGACGCTTTCGCCGCTCCCGTTCTCGAACCGCTGCTCGCCGTTGACGGCCCGGGCCTCCGGGGAATCCAGGGGCGGCTTGCTGCTGTACCCGTACCCCCACAGGTCGATGGCGTAGGCGTTGAAGCCCTCCTCCGCCAGGCCGCTAAGGGTCTTTCTCCAGTGGTCGCTGTTGACAAAGAGCCCGTGGACCAGCAGGACGGGACGGCCGTCTTTCGGCCCGGCCCGCTGGTAGCGGATCTGCTGGCCCTCCTTCCACGAGTACAGCTCGTTCGGCAGGTTGGTGGCCGGGGAGATCGGCGGGGGGACCGGGGGAACGTAGCCGCTCGGTGTTTTGGTGGCGGTGGTGGGTGCCGCCTGGAGGGCGCTGGTCCCGGGCGCAAGGCCCGCCACTGCGGCCATTGCCACCACGAGCGCCGATGCGGTGGTTCCTGCGGTTGGCCTCATGCTGTATTGTAATCTCTCGGTGCCGTGTGCGTCTTGAGCTTTCTTTCCGTGTGCTTGGGATGGGTATTTGCAGAACGTATACGGTGGTAGAATGGCAAAGAAGACTTCCGGACAGGTGTTGTTCGATGAGTCTATATTTTCGTTGTTGTCGTCGAGGGCTGATTGGGTTTTTGTTTTTCATCTCGTTCCGACAGTCGTACTCGTACCAGGTACAACAGAAGACACGTCACATGCCGTACGAAGAACGAAGACGCACAAACAAAAACGTTTTTGGAATGTAAACACTACAGTAACATAGGTTAAATACATATGTTGTTAACATACTATACTATAGTACAGATGTGAAGAGAGATGAGATTGGAATACTTGGATTCTCATTCAAAGAAAGATGCGCTCGCGCGTAGCCTGTCGTCTCATCCTCTGTAAGAATTTTTGAAAATTAGTTGCTCTTCTGGTTTTTGTTTTTGAGAACATGATCCTTCCTGCCGTCCGTACGTACGAATTCAACCTCCACATTGAGTAGGAACGGGCATCAACAATCAACATCCACCTGCCACCATACTAGGGTTCGAAGCCTCGGTCCGCTCTCGTTCTTTTGCATCGGTTGCCACCAACCCCTGTGTTTACTGTTTGGCAGACCACCATCGACAACGCTTTCGTCCCTCGAACCGAATCGACACCGGCGGTGCTGCAAACGCTGTTCCACAACGGCGGCGCGACGCGGTTCGACACACCCACACACAAACACACAGACGACACCCCCACCCCAAGCATGGCTAGAGCACCGGTTGCGGCGGCGAGGCAGGGCCACAAGCGGCCCTCCCCCTCCCTGCGGAGCGAGGCACCGCCGATCGTCCACGCCCTGGGCGGCTCGATCGGCTCGGCACTGGCGCTCCTCCTCCTGTATCCGCTGGAGCGGGCCCGCATCGAGCTGCAGTCGAGGGCGGGGTCATCACTGTCCTCGTCCTGTTCCTCGTCGTCGTCGCTATCGGAATCCCAGAAGGGCCTGGTCGCGACGACCGAGCCGATCTCCCCCATACGACACGCCGGAGAGGGTGCCTCCGAGGGGGAGAGTTCCTGGGAGGGGGCTTCCCCGGACACGCCGTCGTCCTGGTCGGTCCACTCGGGGTCCAACGACAGCCGCGACAGTTCCGGGAGCTACACCGAGGACGGCTCCCAAGGCGGCCCCGGCCCCAGCTACGGAGAAGCCGACGGCATCCTCCGGTGCCTGCTGGATCTGCGGGATCGGGGCGTCCTGTACAAGGGGGTGAAACCGATTGTTTCTACGATTTTTACGAGGTACGGATGCGCAGCCGGTCTCGGTGTGCGACTTTGTGAGACACCGCACTGACATTCTTTTTTCCTGTTTGGCGACGTCGGCATCGCAGCCAGTTTGTCTTTTTCTTTCTGCACGCCTATGCCAAGCGGTGGCTCGCACGGGTCACGAATTCCGGGTCCGTCTCGAACAGCCCTTCCCTGAGCCTGCTGTCGAGCTGCCTCGCCGGCGTGGGCAACGTCCTGCTGACGAACCCGCTCTGGGTCACCAACATGGCCATCGTGTCGGGGACCACCGAGACCCAGAACCTCTTCCGGGAGGTCCTGCGGCTCTCGAGGGACCACGGCCTCGGGCACCTTTGGAAGGGCACGGGCGCCTCGCTGCTGCTGGTGAGCAACCCCATCCTCCAGTTTGTCTGCTACGAGCAGTTCAAGCGGAAGATTCTGGAGGGGCGCGGGAAAACCGGCCCCGGCGGGAAGGCCCGGACCACCCTCGGCGCCGCCGAGGCCTTTGCGGTGGCGGCGCTCGCCAAGACCATCGCGACGGTGGGGACCTACCCCCTCCAGCTGGCGCAGACCCTCCTGCGGCTGGCCGACGGGGACCGCTCCGGGGAGCGGGCGGCCCGCTACGAGGGGACGATCGACTGCCTGGCCAGGCTCTACCGGACGAACGGCGCCGGGTGCGCCGCCTGGTTCAAGGGGATGAGGGCGAAGCTGCTGCAGACGGTCCTGACGGCCGCCTTTACCTTTCTGACCTACGAGCAGATCCTGGGGGCGGTCCGGAGGGTGGTGGAATCGCACGCTCTGCGGGTGCGGACGAGCCGCCGGCGCGTCGGAACCACCGGGGGAAGCAGTGGTGGAAACGGGCTAGATCAATTATTAGAATAATAAGAATAATACATGGAGTTGTAACAGACTGTAGCAAGTGCGCAAGGCAATTCGTGGAAGAAATGGTTTCTCGATTACAAATCGCGTCGCATGGTACGAGTTCCCGCCGCGTCGAGCCGCCAGGGCGATCCGATCCGCTGCTCTAAAACGGGGGCGGGTCCTTGGACTCTTTCCGGGCCGGCCCCGATTTTCCCGCCCTCCACTGCACACCGTTCTCGACCTCTTCCCGGACAAAGGTCCCCTCCTCCCCGGCGACGATCTTGGCCGCGTCCTTCAGGTCGCCCACGGCGGCCCAGGCCCCGGGCTTGTTCGATCCCTCGACGAAATCGATCAGGGCGTTCACCTTGGGTCCCATCGACCCGGGGAACTTGGCCCCGGCCTTGGTTCCCCTCAGGTACTCGGGGGTCGCCTGCTCCATCTCCCGGGCCTCGGGCTTGCCAAAGTTTTCCCAGATGCCCCCGCCGTCGGTGAAGATGATGAAGCCGTCGGCGTCGAGCTCGTTGGCGAGCTTGGCCCCGCAGGCGTCCTTGTCGATGACGGCCTCCACGCCCTGCAGCGTGTTGGGGTTGGCCGGGACCCGGGCGACGGGGACGCCGCCCCCGCCGCAGGCGATCGGAAGGATCCCGGGGGAGTGCTCCAGCAGGGTCTTGATGGCGTCGATCTGCAGGATCTCCACCGGGGGCGGCGAGGGGACCACCCGGCGGAAGTATTCGCCGTCCGGTTTGACGGTCCACCTGTCGGTCGGTGGTGCGCACAGCGAGAGAGAGAGAGAAATATAAGCATGGAAGGCAAAACACGGTGAGCCGAAAGCTATGCCGAAACAAGCAAGCTCGCGTTGCAACAGCAACAACAACAACAGAAACCATCGCGAAACAAAAAGACTACGCACCCGAGGGACTGCGCCAGCGCCTGGGCCTCGATGCTCCCGTAGATCGGCCCGACGAACTTGGTGGGGTCCTTGAAGGCCTCTGAGTACTGGTCCACGACGACCTGGGTGAGGATCGGGACGGCCGTGCACCCCGCGGACTGCATGGCCTGCGCCAGGACGTATCCGATCTGCCCCATGCTCTCGGCCCCCAGGACGTCGAAGGTGGCCGCCGCGCGCTCCAGCGCCAGCTCCCCGACCTGCGGTCCGTTTCCGTGGGTGAGCACTGGAAGCGAAGCCAAGCGAAGCCAAGCGGCGGGGCAAGAAACCAAAGAGAGATGGATCGGTGGATGCCATGGCACGGCGCAAAATACACAGCGTGGAACGCATGCATGGTGGGTGTGAGACCGAAGCAAACATTTGCGTTCTGGATTTGGGTCCAGCACGACAACGACAACAACAACAACAACAACAGCAACCAAAGCACATCGCCGCACAACACAACGCAATGCAATGCATCACGCCCCGGCCAAAGACAAAATTAAAAAAAAACTTTTTGCATCGTACCCAATTCGTTGTCCTTTGCGAGTTCCGCCAGAGTAGGCGCCATCTGGGCCGCGGCTTTCTGTATCGCAGTTGTTTATTTTTTTTTCGATCCGCGTTTCGTGTCGCATCCAATCGATCGTGAGGGGGTAAAAATGGGTCGCGTCCATCGCAAGCAGAAGTAGGGCAAAAAATTGGCATCGGTTGGAACCAAAATGGCAAAAACCGGTGGATGAAAAAATATACATCGTGCGAATGAGTGGTGTGAGTCGTCGAGTGGTGTTTGTTGGCGTTTGCCAAACAAGCGGTGGAAATCGGTGCCGTCGATCACGGTTTACTCCGTGCGCACACCAGCCGAGAAGAAACACGTGTCGTTGTCGAAGCAAAACCCGAAACACAAACAAACCCAACCGAAACAACGGATCCACACCGCGCACGCACCAGCATGTTTTCGATGGTCAGCCGGTCCCCCCGCCTCTGCAGGGCGTTCCCGCCGACGGCGACCACCAGCCGCTGCTTCTTCTTGGGCTTGGTCTTTGGCTCGGCCGGGGCGGGGTCCTTGACGGTGACCTTGGGGCCGTCGCCCTTGGCCGCGGAAGAAGACGAGAAGCACGAGCGGGGGGCGACCGCCGGTCCCGTTCTGGAAAGGGCCCTGCTGCAGTTTCGGAGCATCATTGCGTTCGTTCGTTCGCTGGTTGGTTGGTTTGGTTTGCTATGGAATGTTGTAGTTTGCTCTCCGGGTGGCCGGTGGGTGAGCGGGGTTTGGCTTTTGATTTTTGTTTTGTTGGTGTTGCCCAACAAATCGGTGCCGAGGCAAACATCGACAAGATACGGCGGTCGTTTTCTACAGAACGGCATGTACGGTGCAGTCGAACATCAGTGGAGCAGGAGGTGACAACTCACCGCATTCCGTACCGCAGTGTACGAACGCTCTGCGTACTTCTAGTCCCCGGCATCGGAGGAAGGTGAATTTTCGATGTTGAATTAGGTTCGTTCTTCCCAAAGAAACATAAGCCAGATTCGACGTTGGAAGCACAACGTACGGAAGTTTGTCACAGCGCGCGGAAGGTGCGTATTCGTGATCCAAAACCTTTTTTTGTGATAAGACTCGAAACCACGAACGCCACGGACTCCTTCGAATCCACCGAGACGGAAAAAATGAAGGAAACAAAGAGCCTCTCTCGCCATCCATCAGCTGTTTTTCGGATTCTGAATTCGTGCCGCACTACGGCAATTTCTCTATCGTTTGCATTCCTCCAGCCATGTGGCACGGTACCGTACGGTACGACGGTATGTATTTTCCTTGCTGGCCTTTCTTTTCTGCGGTTCGACAAGCTGGATTGGTTCGGTCACAAACATCGGTGTATTTCTCTTGCTGCCCGCACTCTACAACGCAATCCAACACAGCACAACACAACACGAGGCCAGGACACGATACCATAGGACACGGTACAAATGACCAAGAGGACGAGAAGCCGAGCGATCGGCTCGGTGTGCGCCGCCGCCACGGGATTCCTGCTGCTGTCGGCCTGTAGCGGGCCGAGCCCCTCCCACGCCTTTTCGGTGGTGGCCCCATCGACGGCGACGACGAAAGCGTCGTCCCGGCGGTGGTCGCCCCCGCTGGGCATGGCGGATTCAAGCAACGCCGCCGCCGGCGACGACGACGCCGACGAGGCTTCCCCCGAGGCCCCCGCCGGGAGCTTCTTCCACCCGGTCGCGCCGAGCGGGGAGGAAGCCCCGGCACCGGCCGGGGGCGCAACGGCCCCCCCGGGGGAAAAAGCCCCGGCGCCCGCGGGCGGTGGCGACGACTTTGACGACGCCGTCTCCAAGCTGATGCAGCAGCGGCGAAAAAAGCCCCTGGCGAGCGAGCCCAGCACGATCAAGGGGGTGCCCACCAAGGGCTTTGGAAAACAGCCGGCGGGAGGCAAGAAGCGGGCCGCCAAGCCCATCAGCCCGTACGTGGCCATCGGGACGCCCGACCAGCCCGTCAACGACCCCTCCAAGCCGGAGCGGGACGACCAGGGCTACACGCTCTACACCGACACGAAGACGGGAGAAAAGTCACGGGTCTTCGAGGCCCTGGTCGACTACCCCTCGGTCTTCACCATGAAGATCGTGGGGGCGAACGAGGGGACCTTTGTCTCGGACATGGTGGCCCTGGTGGCCGAGGCCTGCGACACGGAGCCCTTGGGGATCCAGCACACCACGAAGGTCATGGGAAAATGGGTCTCGGTGACGGTCAAGGCGCCCGTGGAGAACGCGGAGATGCTCTACACGCTCTACGAAAAGGTGGACCTGGACCCCCGCGTCAAGTTCAAGTTTTGAGGCCGTGCCCCGCGCACGGTGGTACCTAGGTTTGGGATGCGTTGCGAACCACTATACACTACAGTATATCTAGAAGCATAGGACTACACCGTAGAATACGAATACAGCAAAACCAATGTCTAGTTGTTTTGGTTTGTGTTGTGTTGTGGACGGAAACGCCCCTTGGGTCGTTTGCGTTTTGATTCTGATTATCGTCTGCTCCGCTAGCTCGCCGCGGGCGCAGATCCCTCGGCGGCCGCCGCCGGTGCCTCCTTCCCGCCGAAGAGGCCCGCGATCTTCCGGAGGACCGATCCCGACCAGATACGGCCGGCGAAAAAGCCCGCCCGGCAGAGCTGGAAGACGGCGAAGCAGGCCCACACCTGGTCGACGCTGCCCCCGATGCTCTTGACCCGCAGCAGGGCCGAGGGGAGCAGGGCGGTGGTCAGGACGTAGACCCCCGCCAGGTACCCGAGCTCCCTCCGGGCCAGCAGGATGCCCTCCGAGACCGCCACGGGGGCCGTCAAAAAGGCACCGGCCCACAGGTACTTGGCCAGGGGCTTCACGCCGTTCTTCACCAGCGGGTCGGACGTCAGCATGCCGCCGAAAAAGGCGGGGATCAGCGACGCCAGGGAGGCCACAATGGTGGCCGAAATGAACCCGAGCTTCAAGAGGTAGGACCCGAGATCGAAGGCCCTGTCCAGCCAGGGCTTGACGAGTGGATCGGCGAGGGTGCGCTCCTCCTTGGCCTCGACGTACTCGTTCACGGGCGCCAGGTAGGACGGCACGAAGGTCTGGGCCGTCTGGCTGATGACCTCCATGAACGGGCTGACAAAGAAGAAGAGCGACAGGATGATCTGGTGCGAGGCCAGTGGGGTGGGCTGCCCGGGCACCGCCGCCGCCGAGTGCGTCATGAAGCCAAAGGCTGCCAGCTTTCCCAGGATCAGGGTCAGGACGGGGGCGGCAAATCCCAGAAAGGCCTTGGAGGTCACCGCTTCTTCGCCCTGGCTTCCCTCCGCCGGCTTCTTTTTCTTCCAGAGCCCCAGGGAGCGGTCCCTGACCAGACGCCTGCGGGCGGGTCCCAGCAGAGCGGCGGTGGCGGCCAGCTGCGCTAGGAGGGTGGCGATGGCGGCCCCCTTGAGGCCCATGCTTGCGACGCGGACCAGGAGAAAGTCTCCCACGACGTTGACCACGGTCGAGTACAAGATGGCGATCAGCGGCGTCACCGAGTCCTTGGCGCCCAGGAGCGCCGCCTGGACGACTCCGAGGAGGAGGGAGGTTGGCATGGAAACGGCCCGGATCTTGACGTAGTCGACGGCCGAGTCGATCAGGGCCGGATCGGCTCCGTGGCCTGCCGGGAAACGGGGAAACGGGTCGCGGTTGGAGGTTGTGTTGGGTTCGAAGGTGAGATTGGAACGGAGTCGATTCGAGCCGGGTTTGGTCGGTTCGTGGGTTTGTGAGCATCAGCGTGTCACAAAGAAAAGATTCGTAACCAACAAACCACAATCGAGAACATAGTTTCTATCGGCAAGCAAACGAGCCATGCGCAAATTGCAGGGAATTTCTGCCACCCATCCAACCAAATCCACTCGAGCAACAACCAAAGAGCTTGCACGACCGCATCGCCGGCGCAACTTACCGATGTAGAGGGCCAGCAGGGGCCGGGCAAAGGCAAACAAAAAGAACATGATCCCGATTCCGCACCTCAGGGCGACCCGGCTGGCGGTGCAGACCACCGCCTCGGCCTCGTCGGACTGCCCCCCCTTCTGGGCCAGGGCCGTCGAGTAGAGGTTGGTCGTGGCCACGTTCAGAAAGGCAAAGAGGTAGGTCGCCCCGTCAATAAAGGTGGTGGCCGGCCCGAGGGACGCCAGCTGGGCGGCCGACTCCGCCGGGACCTTTGCGGACAGGCCCACAAAGGCGGTGTCGACCAGCGACAGGAGGGGCTGGGCGACCCAGAGCCCCAGGCAGGGGACGGCGAACTTTCGGAAATCGGCCAGCGAGGGCAGCGCCGGTGGCTTGTCGTCCACGACGTTCGATCCCCCGCCTCTTGGGATGTCCCCGGCCGGCTTGGCCTCTGCTTTGGTGTTGTCGCTTTCGCCGCTGTCGTGGTTCTCGACCGTTTTCAGGGAGGTCGACGACGGGGTGGTGGCAACCGCCCGGTAGTGGTGGCGCGGGGTGGTCGGCGACGCGATGGCGCCGCTGCCCGAGGGGTGGTGAAAGGCGGAGGCCGGAACAAAGGCGTTTGCTGCCACCAGCCATGCGGGCACCAACAGACACGTCGCTAGCTTGGACGTCCACATTGTATCGAACTTGGTTTGGATGGGTGTGTTCGGTGAATGCGCGTATTGTACCGGTATGCTTGCCAAAAAGGAAGAAAGAACAGAAGGTGGTGACACCGGTAGCTGCCCTGCAATCAAAAATGACACGATGTGCAGACCGGTATTCTGTGTTGGTTTTTAAAAAGGAGACATCTTTCAAAATCGATCAAACGAAAAAGATCGGCACAATTGTTAGTGACGTTTATTTTGTTTCCAATCGGTCCGTCATCGCACGATACGGTGCTGTACCAGGTACTCTCAGTATCTAGTAGTATTTTGTAGTAGTAAAAGTACGTACGTACAGAGTAAGGGTGTGTGTAAAGTGTACTGTATTGTATGGGTTAAGGGTTAAGGGAAACATTGGAACGTACGTACCCGTAATACGTATAGTATGAAGCAAGGTTTTTTCAGATTTTGTTCTGGATGACATTTTTCTGTTTCCTCATTGGCTTCCAGTCTATTTTTTTCTGCGCAGGAAAGCTCCCCGCCCTTTCTATTGCTGAAGATGATACCGAAAGCTTTTCGGCCATAGCCACCGTTGCCTTGCCCCACACGAGGCGGCACTCGGTTTTCGCGCTGCATAGCATCGATTCGGTCGTCTCGCTCCTCCAGAGGTAGTTGCACGGCTGTATGCGCAAGGCCACACAACACGACGAGACGAGCACAGAAACGCAACGCAACAATGGCGCAAAGCAGCGTTCCCTACCGCGAATACCGAGGGACCATCGACGACGTCGCCCCGGACGAATTCGGTCCTCCTCCCACCGCCGGGACCGCGATCGGATCCCCCTATGGCGACGGCGACGGCGACGGCGGTGGCGTCGGAAAACAGGGCGCCGCGAAAAGCCTCCCAAAGAGAATCTTTGCCTTTCTTACCAGGGGCGGAACGGGATTCGACGCCTTTTTGCTGGCGGCGAGCCAGGAGGTCGGGCAGGTGATCCTGACGCTCCCGTGGGTGTTTTCTCTGGTCGGGATGAAATCGGGAATCCTTCTGCAGGTGGTCTTTGCCACCACAGCCCTGTACACGAACTACCTGCTCGTCAACCTGCACACCGAGTTCCGCAAGCGCCTGGCCGAGGACCGGTCCGATCCCCGGTCGGGGGACCCCCACTACGTCGTGAGCTACCACGACATCATGGGCGGGCTGGTCGGGCCGTTCTGCGGCCGCTTCGCCTTTGGGGTCGTCTTTTTGTCCCTCTTTGGGCTGTCCACCGTCCAGATCATCGCGACCGGATCGAACATGTACCTCTTGGACGGCTCGCTGCCGAAGAGGACCTGGTCGCTCATCGCCGGAGGTGTCTTTTCCCTGCTGGCCTTTGTCCCCAATTTCCGGCACTACCGGCTGCTGGTGGTCCTCGCGAACACCGCGACGACGTATACGTCGTGGTACATGACCATCACGTCGCTGAAGGAGGGGCCGGTGGAAGACGTCGTCTACGATGCCCCGCGGGATGCCTCCGATTGGTAAGCGAGCGACGTGCTGCTGCTTTCGATGGCGGGTTGTCTCGCGTTTTCGGTTGGTCTGGTCCGCTCTGTGGGATGCACAACTCGACGACGAATCCCTGCGCATCCGTGTGTTGAAATTGTTTCTCTTCGGTTCAGGATGAACGCAGCGTGGTTTGTGTGGTTTGCTTCCTTTCTCTGGCGTGGTTTGTTCTAACGGTTGCTTTGTTTCGTTCCGCTCGCGACGCACCCACGGAACATTTTGAAATACGTATCGCGGCGGACGGACAGGTTTCGTGGCATGGTTGGATTGCTGTTTTGTTTCGGCGGGCACGCCTCCAACATCGAGGTTGCGGACGTCATGGACGACCATTCCACGTACGATAGGGCCTATTTCTACTCGTTTCTATACGTGTTTACGCTGACCATGCCCAACGCGGTTTCGGTGCGTTGAATGTTTGCATTTGTTGTCGGGGAAGACGAAAAGGAACGAACGAACGACCGAACGACCGAACGAACAGGCGACAATCGACAATCGACGATCGATCGAAACGCAGAGGCCCACGATGGGCTCGTCGTTTGGTTCTCGGATGGTCCGCCAAGAGCAAACGGTGTGCCTAAGAGTCACACCCCCAATCCCAACGAACCATTCTCTCACACACCCCAACTGCTGCTTTCTTTTGTTCCTGTCGTTGGTACCTCTGGACAGGCATATTATTCGTATGGTTCGATTGCCCGCCTCAACCAAAACGCCTTTGGTTTGTACGAACAAAGCACCGCAAGAGATTTCGGGATCATAATGATGAACATCAACAATCTGGTGGCCTTTGGATTGTTTCTAGGCCCCCTGTAAGTACGAAACGCGATTGCTAGCGGTTTGTCTTGTGCGATGGGGTCCCTTGTTATGGCACGATGCGTGCGATGCATACCGCAGTCTCGCTCACTGGCGTGTTGCATTGGTCCGCTGCCATGTTGGTGGTATTTCGGCTTTTATTGATTTGTGTTTCAACTATGCCAGGTTTCACATCTGGGAGCGCTTCTTGCACATTCACCAGAAACCCTTTTGGATCCGTGCACTGGCCCGCTTGCCGCTGTGCGGTGTGATCGTGCTGTTCGCGATTGCCTTTCCGTTCTACGGTGCCATCAATACCGTGCTGGGTGCTTTTGTAAGTCGAACATAGTGAATGGCATGGCGCGGCGCGGTGTGGTTTGGTTTGGTTTGATTTGGCTTGGTTCGTTTCCTCACACAAATGTTTTCTACTATGATCCATGAATCGAATCGAACATCGAACGGATCGAACCCGATCCTCGGCGTTTTGTCGGCAACGACCGTGCCAGACGACTTCCTTTGCAACGTACATTCTTCCGATGGTCGCCTTCAACAGTGTCTTCCGAACGAGCGACGACCTGGTGGGCATGGCCAAGCCGCTCCCGGGGTTTGCCCGGTCCAACTTTGCGCTCCTCCGAAAGGCAAACTACGTGGCCATTGGTCTTCTGACGGTCTGTGGGGTGGGGCTGGGGGTAAGTCCCGGGCAGGCAATGAATCAATCGATGCTCCGAACTCGCTGCGGTTTGCGGTCGCCGTCTCACGCGCATGCGCCCAATGTTTCTCTCTGCTTGTTTGCTTGTTTTGTTTGCCACCGTTCTCCGAACAGGGATGGTCCTCGGTGACCAACTTTGTGGCCCAAATCCACAAGTTCGAATACTTTGCGGAGTGCTACGGCTGCTGAATGGAACAGCGGGACGATCCGGACTCCCAAACCGTGCTCGGTGCGATGCAAAGCAAAGCGCGAATCCGCAAAGGAAAGAAAGAACAAAACAGCCAGCGAGCAGCAGCTTCTCGTTCTTTGTGGTAGAGTTCTTGTTATGAAAAGAGTGTCAAGGTTCTATCCAAACATTACTAGTAGGACAGTCTTTGTGAGTGCTACTAGTAGTACTACTACCACTGCTGCAATACTTTACTTTTTCATAGACAGATATATCCCCATCTCCTATGAAAACTTTGAATAGTAGTAGTTGTAGATAAAAAAGTGATGAAATTGCTTACTAGATTGCGTTGTCGTGAATCAGTCACTTGAGGGTTTCCTACCGGTATTTCCAACGTATTTGAACTCGTAGTCGTAGACTACGTTAAGGAACTCATATGTACGGTAGGTACCTACGATAGTTATGATACTTGATGTACAGTATTGTGGTTCTCGTCCTTTTTCCCCCTGTCGACAACAACACTGTACTACTAAAGCATTTGAACACTATTTTTGGCTACCGTACCGTTTCTCTTCCCCCAAATCATGCAGGATCGCGCAGCGCGTCACCGTGGCCTGACACTTTTCGTTCCCAAGCGCGTGCGAGTCATCATCGACGAGGTGTCAATCAATCAACGAAGGCTATTGGATTCCAAAAATTGATCGTTCTTTCTGTACGGCATCCTTACGTAGAAGTACGTATCACTCTCTTTCATCTCATCCGACGCAACGGAGCATGCGCGAATGTGGTGTACGGAAAGACACAAAAAAGACCCCAGCAACCGTGACACGAGCTGAGAGGGAGTTTTCGACGATTCGTCCACAAATTCACAAACCAAAAAAGAAGACAACGACAACCGCGAGAACCAAATTGCAACCAACCCTTCCATCCACCCATCCATCGATAACCCTACATACTAACAACAAACAAATCCCTATTTTTCGAGAAGCAACCATGATATCCCGGCTCGCAGTTTCCCTTCCACGACGCGGCCGCTCCGCCATCTCGGCGGCGCTGGCCCCTGCCGCAGCGAGGGCAACCCCAAGCACAACCGCCACGGCAAAACGCTCCATCACCAGCCACTCCCAGCTCCCCGAGGAAACCGGCATGGTGTACGAGATGTGCCGCAAGTTCGCCGACGAGGAGCTCGCCCCCAAGGCCACCGAGTGGGACCAGAAGCACGAATTCCCGACCGACGCCGTCGCCGCCCTCTCGGAGCTCGGGCTGATGGGGATCAACACCCCCGAGGAGAACGGGGGCAGCGGCCTCGACGCCCTTTCGTACGCGATCGCCATGGAGGAGATTTCCCGGGGCTGCGCATCGGTCGGCGTGATCATGAGCGCACACAACTCGCTCTACCTGTCCCCCGTCCAGGCCTTTGGAACGCCGGAGCAGCACGACGAGTGGATCGCCCCGTACGCCTTTCCCTCGGTCGGGGCGGACGGCAGGCTGGAGAACGTGGGCTGCTTCTGCCTCAGCGAGCCCGGCAACGGGTCGGATGCGGGGGCGGCGTCCACGACGGCCATCCGCGACGGGGACGACTGGATCCTCAACGGGACCAAGGCCTGGATCACCAATGCCTACGAGGCCGATGCGGCCGTGGTCTTTGCGACGACCGACAAGAGCCTCAAGTAAGTCGGGTCGATTTCGCGTGTGCAGTTTGTTTTGATGTGATAGGTTGAGTCGCGCAGCCCTTCTATATGCTGGCTGCAAACCACCAGTTTTCTCTGCCGGGGCTTTTTTGTCTTGTCATGCTCGATTCGATGCAATGCAGCAGAAACAAACACGAAACTACGCGCATCTTTACCTGCATAGTTCTCACCCGCCGTCTTGTTTTGCATCTGCTGCAATGGTTTCCAGGCACAAGGGCATCTCCGCCTTTATCGTCCCCGCCAGCGCCGAGGGCTACAGCCTGGGAGCCAAGGAAGACAAGCTCGGCATCCGGGCTTCGTCGACGGCCAACGTCATACTCGACAACGTCCGCGTCCCCGTCAAAAACCTGCTGGGGGCCGAGGGCGAGGGCTTCAAGATCGCCATGTCCACCCTCGACGGGGGACGGATCGGCGTCGCCGGCCAGGCCCTGGGAATCGCCTCCGCCTCGATCGACTGTGCCGTCCGGTACGCCCTCGAGCGGACCGCCTTTGACAAGCCGATCGCGAACTTCCAGATGATCCAGCTCAAGATCAGCAAGATGGTCCTGGCCAGGGACCAGGCCCGGCTCCTGACCTGGAGGGCGGCGCAGCTCAAGGACGCCGGAAGCAGCTTTACGAGGGAGGCCGCCATGGCCAAACTGGCGGCCTCCGAGGCCGCGACCATGTGCAGCCACCAGGCGATCCAGATTCTTGGGTGAGTGGGCAAGCGACGTTGTGTGCATTTGGATCCGCATTCCGCGATGGGTTTGGTTCGTTCCGGGGTGTGGTGTGTTGTAGGACCCACCCAATCCTTTGCATTGGTATTTGTTTGGACCAATCCTCACTCAATCTATCCTTTCTTTTGGTTGTCGTGTTTTGGTTTGTTTCTTTGGCGGTTTGGCTGAATCGGCTCGCGTTTGTCCTGTTTCTCACCACAGCGGAATGGGCTACGTCACGGAGATGCCCGCCGAGCGGCACTACCGCGACGCCCGAATCACGGAGATCTACGAGGGAACCAGCGAGGTCCAGCACATCGTGATTGCGTCGGACGTCATCAAGGAGTTCAAGGGCAAGATGTGATCTGATTCACCTGCATTCCCTTGCATCGATCGCCCGGAGGCCGTGTATCGGTGGGGTTCGTCGGTTGGACAGAGCTTTTTTCGCTCGACACTACAAAAACGGCACGGCACCAAAGACTGCTGCCAGGCAACCACCGAAAGCCACAAAACTCTCACACAAATGTGCGTTTTTGTCTGTACGATAGTTAGAAGCGTTACTACAGTATTACACTAGCTAAAAAGTTACCTTGTCATCGGATGCCCCACGAACCGTGGTGCTGTAGTTTACTGTACTGCGCATTGCACAACAGAACATGCGGCACCCAGGCGTGCAGGCCCGGATCGCCCCGTTCGGGGGAATCGTTGCGGCGCGCCCTGCGCCTCCTTCGTAGCGTCCTTATTCGGGCCTTTTGTTCCGTGGTTTGGTTTGTCCGGCATCGCCTCGCTCCGTTCCGCCCGGCACCCGTTCCGTGGGTTGCGCTTCGCGGTTCGAACGCCGCGATTGCCGTGCCAGTCCAACGCAAAAAACCCACAACCGCAAACACACCTACAAACCACGGGACGGGACGGGACGGGACGGGACGAGACGAGACGCCGGCCCCCCTCCCCTCGAACGCTACGATACGTTGACGTTCGCCGTCCAGTACTCGACGCTCTTCATGTATTCCTCGCGGGTGAGCGGGATTCCGGAGCCGCCCTGGTCCTTGCCCAGGGCGTTGCGCATCTGGGTGATCCTGCGGTCCGCAAAACGTTGCACAACGAAACGCAACGCAAAGTCGCGTGCAGAGAAAAAGCGTGTGAGCGAAAAAGGGACGCAGAAAAAGAGTACGGAACCACAAACAGAGAACGAAACGCAACACAACACAACACAACGCAACAACCATCGTTCTGTCGATACGCACGGATTCATTGGGAGCTCGAAGTCCTCCATCTGCGCCTTGATGCTGACGATCCCCCAGGGGGCCTCCTCGTCCCCCTCCACGTTCTCGTTGCCCATGCTCTCGTTCTCCTTTCGGATCTGGTCCCGCGAGTACAGAATCAGGTCCAGGTACTTGGCCCTCGGGAGCTCCTCGGCCCCGCCCACCGCCTCGAGGGGGATGAACCGCTGGAGGACCGGGAGCTCCTTGTCGTTCCGGGCGGCGTACTCGGTCCGGATCTTGTCCTCGTTGCCCTCCACCGGCAGGACGTTGACCCGGGCGTCGTCCCCCGTAAAGTCGTTCTCCAGAAAGACGTGCTTGCAAAAGGGGGCGTAGCCGTCCCTCAGGTCCTCCTCTCGGAAGCGGGCGTTGGCGACCTCCTCGAAGGCGGCGACGGTCAGCGAAGAAAAAACCGTCCCGCCGTAGGATCCGCTCTGGGGGTGCTCCCCGAACTGGCGGAAGCAGAAGGGATCCACCACGAGCTGCCGGGCGGGCTTGCCGTCTTGGTCGGATTCGGTCGACATGTTCCGTTTGTGGTTGCTGCTGCGGTTGCTGCTGCTGCGGTTGCTGTGTTGCGCCGAGAAGGCCCGGGCGGTGGGAAGGGTCGTCGGCGGGGAGAGGAGAAGCGAAGAAGCTCGAGCGGCCAGAACAAGGGTCGGTGCCAGTCTCATGGTGATTGGCATGGTTCGCTTTGCGGTTGTCGAGCAGGTTGGGCGTCGATGGAGGGAGACCAAGGGATTCTGTACGAAACGACGAGTACGGTACGTAGTGCGTTATGTACTCGTGCGTACGTACGAAATCCTATTGTACCCACCAGTACCTACCGTAGCGTTCCGCAAACAAACGATCTTTTTGATGCCGTTGTTGTCTCACCCGGATGGGATCGATGTCCGATCCCTCGCGTGACAACCGTACGAAGGTTAGACTGTTTTCGAGGTGTTGATGGAGAAACAGTCAGAATTAGTACGAAGTGACTACGAGTGCTGTACGTACCGGTACAAGTAGGAATACTTCTGGCAAGGTCGTAGTTTCCCTAGAACTCATAACTTACCGTATGCAGGGATGTTTGTTTCTTTTTGCTTACTTTATTATTATAATGATTTATTTTATTATGAGTTAGTAGCTGTAAACTTTTTCAACAATTTCTTTCGTGGTGGAGTGTGAGTGTGTTGTGTTGTGGTTTTATGGATTTTACTGTACATTTGAAACAGCTCGTAACTCTCCTCGTCCTCCAGCGGAAATAGAACCAGGAGGCATCACGCTTCTGGCGACGGATTCGAAAACCCTTTCGATTTCGGTCGCGCAGCGGGTGAAGGGGTAATTCCAGAATTGGTACTTCTCTTGGTTCTTGATCAGTTCAATAAAGGTGACCAACAATCCCCATGGATGAGGTCTGTGAAGAATCAATCGTTCGAGCAAGACTCGAGTTACCTGCTCTTTGACCGCCACATTCTTGGACTCGCTGAAGAGATAGAGCATGACACACGAAAAATAGTGGGTATGGCTGGATGGATATCGAAGCTGATTGGCGATTGCGTTCAAGCAAACGTAGCGACCCTTGTCATCAAAATCCATAAGCTTCTGCAAGACCTCCATTTCCGGAGAACGAGACAACGAAATCTGCGAGCTTTGACGAGCTAAGGCATGAATGCCGACGTACAAAACAAGGGAATTGACCTTCGGAGCGTCGATCCCATTCGAGTTGTCTTTTTTGAGGAGCAAGGGGAAAGCCTCCAGAATATCTCTTCTTTGCCCCTCTTTCAAGAACGCGTCCAAATGACCGCGGAATGAATCGATTGGCCCGAGCACGTTCGATAGGATGATAGGGCTCTGAGAAATTTCAGAGAGCATATCAATCTTCAAGTTTGGAGTGAATGGATCTGGTGGGTTCATTCCCTTGGGCGTCGCGGACAAAATCATGTTCCGAAGTTGGATGCAGTTGTGCGGAATGACGTTGCAGAAAGACAGGTGATATCCCGCTAGAAAGGAGGGGAAATCGTGCAAAAGAACCAAGAAGACACGAAGAGTGCCTTCGTATAGTTTCTTTACCGGAGGAGTCATTTCACCAATTTTGATGTGGGGTTCTAAAAAGAGCAAGTAATCAATCAAAAGCTGATGAATAGTGTCCCATCCTTGTTGGTTTTCGATCAGCATCATGTTGGGTAGGAAATGGCGATGGGACACAAGCTCGAACCAAGAAAACGAAAAACCTGGGACAACCAGTGGCTGCGAAACGTGGAACGTTGCTGCAAACACGCTCAAAACTCCCTGGCGGATAGGCTCGAGCTCTGGATCAGGTTTGTTGATGTCGATCACCAAATTCATGAAGATACGGTACCACGGTCTTTGATCCCATTGCTGCCCTTTGGAGCCTTTGGTCTTCTCAACGTCCCACATCATAGTCCGGACAGTGCATCCAAGGATCTTGTTCAACATCGCCAAGCGCTGAACCTTGATCTGTTCAGGGTTCGACCCAGAATTTAGATGCTTGAACATAAGAACTAGAAGCTTGCAATAGATGTCAGCAACTGCATAATTCAAAACGCTCTTTCCGTTTTCTCCACTAACTCCAGACTTCTGAACAGCGTCGACAACGATTAGACTAGCAAGACGAAGAAAACGCTCCGTGTGCTCTTCAACTTTTCCAACTCCAAACCCTTGAAGGTATTGGAGAAATTGGCCATTGATTTTGTCATTCCCAGCAGCTTCGTTGTTGACTCGGATCCAGTTTTCAAGTAGTTGGGTCACCTGCTGTCTAGCATTGGGGGGGTCCTTTTGTGCAAAAGCCTCGGTGGCTTCGGCAACTTTCCCAGATGCCGTGGAGAATCTCGATAGAGAGTCAACTGATAAGCTGCTGCTACCAGTAGTTGGTGGGGTTGCCCGATCAGACTGAGATGATGCAACAGATGACAATCCTCGCATTTCTTCCAGCATACGAAGAATTGGTTTTTTGTACGCTTGAATTACGTTTTGTCCCGCTAGGCTTCGGCCATCGGCAATTCTTGTCATCAAGTCAATAACCTTCGGGAAGTCATTTGGTAGAGAAATTCTCTCCATGAACGCAGTTCGAATAAAAAGAAGCGCGAACTCAACCCAAACAGGGTTTCGGCCATTATCAGCACGTGCAGCAAGGAATTGATCCAGTTCAATAACTGCCAGAAGACGACTTCGAACAAGAAGGAGCAAGACCGTTCTATGCAGGCGTCGCTGCGCTTCGGTATTGGTAGGAGCGTATGTAGCCCACGTTCCCATGTCTTTACCAAGCTTTGGGCAGGAAACATTGATTTTCTCCAAGAGCGCCACCAATGCTTCAAGCCTGAGAGGCTCACCCAAGCTAAGCTCATAGAGACGCTTGAAAATACCCTGCGAAAACTGGAGAACAGCATCTTGTTCACTTTGAATCAATGGACGGACAACTTCACCATTTGCGTTTAGGTTCGGTAAAATCTGGTTGACAGCCGAAAGCAACTGACGAATTTGATGTTCAGGTGGAAGCATTTGCAGCTTCACCTCTGGAGCACGGGGTCCTGCAGAAGTCAGAAGAGCTGTGACACCACTGTCAAGCTTCGCCGCCAAAGCGGATAACGCTTCGATACCAAGTTGAGGCTTCTGAGCTGACGGCTGCATATCGGATTCAGGAACTCGTGACGGAGCGCTACGCCCAGGACCTAGACCAGATGACGCAACATTGGGTGCCATTCCACCAGGTGTCGGAGTCTGACGAGGCATCTTCTGAAAGCTATCGTAGAGCTGAAAGTGTTCCGCTCTGAGACCACCTGCCTTTGGACGAAGTTGCTCGGGTAGTCCTGCAGGGTAGCGTTGCTTGTTTCCAAAAATCGACATGTCGTAGAATGGTTGGCCAGTCTGTTCACGATGTTTTCTTCTAGAATTCAACTGTTGTGCAAGTGCCTCGTCCACGTCGCGAACTGCCTTTTCGGTGGCAGCTTTTTCGATCAGCATACAACCAAGTTCTAAATTATCAGTGGCGCACACCTGAACGCATTGTTCAATAATATTTTGCTCTTGCTCCGTGAGCTTTGCTTCTGATCCAGAGGAGTTTGGCGTCAAGAGCTGGCGTAGATGAGTTGAAACGCTAGTACGAAGGGGCTCTCGGCAAGTGACAAGGGCTAGACTGCCGGCAAGATTCGCAACCATAAGCTGCCCAGCCTTTCGCATTTTATTCTCGTCGCTTTCCATGGCAAAATCTTTCGTGACTATTTCTTTCGTTGTGATGCATGCAATCGTAACGCTTCGTTCAACAACAGGTTGAATAATCTCTCGAATCGCCCTATCGACCGCAATTGGCACAGCTCTCTTCAGTGCTGCTGTATTCAATGAAGCCAAAGTACCTGCTTGCGCAGACTTTTGCAATAGTTCATTCAAACTTTGGTTGACTGTCACGTATGCAGCAAGATTGGGAATTAAGGTGGCTTCATCATCGCTAGAACCCGATGTGCGAGCAGAATCTAGCGAGATGTTCAAGGCATTCTTCGCATCCGGAGTTGCAGGAGTTTGATTAGATGCAGATGCCTTTGCGCTTGCTTTGATATTGAAATCGGGATTCTTCTCTTTCACTGGCGCCACTCTCTTCGCTAGCTCTCTATCTTTCAAAGGGATGTCTTCCAGTCTCGTTCCGAGATTTTTACACAAAACCTCGACTTCGAACTTGATATTCATCTTGAGTCCTTCAACGTTGTAAACGGATCGAAACACCCCAAGAAGACCCATCAACCAAGGATTTGGTGGACGGAAAACAAATGAATTCTTCGCCCCCTCCAATGTCTTCGCTAGGAAAGGTGCAACAGCGATGAGTTTCCCTGTCTCGTATCCTTGAAGTAGAAGTTCTTTGCAATCCAGCATCACTTGCAGAATTGGTCTATTTCTAGCCAAAGTAATTTGACCCAACCAAATACCAAGGTTTTTCAGATAGCTTCGTTCAGAGGAGGAAGTAGTAATCTTCGGAGAGCGAAGCAATTTTCCAATGTTTCGATACGCACTGTCAAGAATTGCTTCCAAAAGTCCCTTCCCGTACTCCCCAAGATTATCTAAAAAGCTTAGGTACAATGAATGGTAGTTTGCTTGAGTGCTGATTCGCTTCACAACAAGAAAATGCGCAAGCCAGCTAAAATATTTTGGTTCAAGCAAATCCTTGAGCTCCTGAGACTTGCTCTCCACATTCGAAGGGGCGAGGTTATTGATCAAAAATTGAATGCGGTCAAGAAGGTTTCCAGGAGGCGATTCATGAACTTGCTCTTCGTCCGCTAGATCAGTCACAGCTCGTCCGAGCAGAGGACCGAATTCGGCGACTCTTGGCTTTGTCTCCACTGGTACACTTGATCCAGAAATGTCCAGATTGGAAACTCCATCTGAGGGATTTGGAGCAAAAACCATACTCTGCGCTGGAGCTGCATCGTCTGAGTTTCTTGCAAATCCACTCCTACCATTATTTTTGTCATCAGAGTCCGACCCAGCTGGCGAGAGATTGGAGCTGGAAATTTGAGACCCCCCACTCGTTGAACCGGCAGCCCTGTTTTGGCTTTCCAGCATGGCATTCTCAATTTCCTTCACAAGTCCAGCATAGCCCTCTTTCAAGTGCGGAATCTGAACGATATGGGAGCAATATTGGGGCCATTCATGCAGACGTCCTTTGAACTGCTCCAATGCAAACATTCCAAACTGGAACATTTTACCACTACTTGTGGTTGGGCCACCAGGAGGAGACGGAGGCTTTCGAAGCGCTTCCAAAACATATCGTAAAGCGATACCGAGCGTGATACTAATCACCAACTGCTCTTCAATGAGCGTCCCAAAAAGAATCCCTGTAATGCGCAACTCTTTCTCGGGATATTTAGAAAAAAATCTGTACTCGTCAAATAGATTGTGAACCATGCAGGCGAAGATTTCATTCTCTTTGGAATTACCAGACGTTTTGAAGCGCTTCAACATCTCTACGACTTCGCCGATGCTCTGTTCGGACGTGTAAATCTTTTGAAAGTAAGCAGTGGCCATTTCTTCGACGTCATCAGATGCTCCTGTAGAGGAAGACGAACCAGAGCTCGTTCCGCCGCCGTTACTGCCGCTGTTGTTTGATGCCGTAAGTCTTCCTCTTAAGTTCGGATGAGTAGTAACGCACGCTTCTAAGACAGCCTTCACGTTGTCACCAAGAGTGGTGCCGTGGATGAGGTTTCCATCCGCACTTGAAAAAGGTTGAGAAAGTGTCGCAGAATCAAGACCCTGCAAACTTTGCATTGCAATCGCAATATTTTCCAAACTGACAAGTGGCGTTGGTTCACTTCCACGAACAGACGCAGCAGAATGGGTCTTGGCAATATACGAAACAATGGCTGCAGCAAACACGCTTGACATGTTTCTTTGCGCGAGTTTTTCATTTAGCCAAGGTTTGAGCTGAAGGAAGTCATTGTCAGCCATAACGAAAGCAATCGCCACGCTGAACTCGGGATCTTTGTTTCCGTTGAGCAACGAAGCCACTGCATCCGCAGGGGAAGGCAGAAAACGTGCAATGTTAATAATGTGAACAAGTGTTGCAACTCGCATCTGGGAGTTGTCTCCAACAGTGCTCCTCCATGCTTCGAAACATGCAGCTGTGACAGTATTTGGAGATATAGCATAAAGCCTTCGTAGCGCAGCTGGTGCATTTTGCACTCTATGATGTGTATTAGGTCGAAAGAAGAGAGGAATCAACTCTCTCATGAGTTCTGTTTTAATCTGTAACCCAGCATTGGCCAAAGCTTCTCTCCCGGCCTGAGGTGGAGTGTTAGCCACATGTAACTGCAAGCGCACCAAAGAACAGAGCAAAACCTCAGGGCAAATCATTAGACCGCGAATCAGTAGATCCCTGACACGGCGATACAGAGGATTGATGTCAGACAGAAAAAGAAGTCGTTGGAGAATTTCCATCGAGGCTAAAGACTGCGCATCTATTCCTGTAATCCCTTGAGCAGCCGTAGCTGCGTCTGCCGATTCTTCATCGTTCAAAGGTGTCATGTAGACTTCTTGAGGAACGGACATAATACTCTCGATGACAGAGAACTGGCCAGACGTATTTCGCCACTGCGACGTGAAGGCAGACAGTGGAGGTTGTTGCCTGGCTCCAGATCGGTAAAGATCGATGAGAATGCGGAATTGCTCTGCGTCCTTCATTGCAAATCCTGGAAAATCCCAGTTTTGAGCAACTAACTTCCAATCAAGTGAAGAATAATCTTGTTGCAGCACATCTGATACAGATTTAAGATTCCAACCGTCAGCGGATACATCATTCCCTCTCCCCGGAATGAGACTTCCTAGAAGCGACGAAGATACGCCAGTCCCCGACGTCGGTCCATCAGAATGCCGCCCTTTCACGCAAAAGAAATAAATGATCCTTGCCATGGCCGCTTCATTCACTGCAGATGTCGCGTTATTAGAAGTAATTTCAGCCAACGTATCGCGAAAGGTGTTCGCGTCTCTCGTACAAGCTGGCCCAATATCTTGCAAAATATTCGAAATTCCGGCAGACGAATCAGACCCATCCGAAGGGGATACGCTACTTGCGATTCCCGACGCAAGCGATCCAAGTGAATTCATGTTGCTATCCATTGTGATGTCGATGTCTTCTTTTGGGTCCTTAAGTCTCCCAATAATCGTTTCGATGTTTTCTATCTTTCCTGATTTGAAGGTCTATAGCAGACACAATAAAATCGATCAACGTCAGTGAATGAATGATTACTCTGTACGTGTCTTCTAATGCTCTAGTCTGAGCGAACAAAATCTAGTTCACGTACCGGATGCGTCTCAAAAATGCCAATTACCTGAGACACGAGATCTTCGTCCCAACGACAATTAATCGGTCCGTTCTCGGTAGCGATCTTGATAGCCTCGTATAAATCAAGTGCCGCTTTAGAATTTGACTTAGGCTTCCTGTCTTTGTTGATGGAGTTAACCTATACTCGGGACGGAAGAAGGGAGAAGTAGTGCGATACCAATGAAGAAAGTTAGTGTACACGAGGAAAGAAGTCGCAGCGAATGCATCGAAAAAGGGGAGCGAAAAATGTAGATAGATTGAGGGATGTTTGACACCTTATATTCTACTTAGTAAACTTACCAATTTCTTAATCCACTCGAGTAAAACTTTTTGTGGTGCGATTATTCCCCCTTTTCCTTTGGCTCGTTGTCCTGTTTCGAACTCGTAGACTTGGAAAAGACGAAGAGCCCCCGGGGCCCGGGGTCTTCTATTTGGAAGCCGATCGCCCGCGTAATCCTCAGAGTTTCTCTCTTCTGACGTCTCTTTGATTAAAGTCGATACTGTATTATGAAGCTGGTCCTGTATTTGCTCTTGTCCTATGTCGCTCATGGGCCATGTTCACCCGAAACCTTTTTTCTCCTTGATGTCTTTTTGTGTTTTGTAGGAGGTAGAAAGGTTTCTGCGTGAAATTTACGCGTAAAATTTTGTGGAGAGCGAGGGTGAAGGATTGGGTTAAGCTTTGCACGGGTGAAAAGGTTGGATTGTCGATTTTGTCAAGCTCGTACAGGTAAGTACTACGTACTATGCAGCAAACGGTTCATTGTGATCTGCGCACCGGTACGGCACGAGGATGACTCTCGGCGCTTTTCGAATTCTGAATTGCCGTGGCATCGTACGAGTAGTCGTTCGTGTGAAGGTAATTAATTTTTGCACACACCGCGCGCAGGAGAGCCACAAGTGACTGATTGAAAAAATAGTACGACATGATTCCTACGGTACGTACCATACTTTACGGCACATCGTATTCCTTTCTCGTTCAAAATTATTTTTTATCCGCAGAATATATTCTGCGGACGACAGACAGGAAATTAGTTCTAAAAACAGTATTTTATCAGGGCTCCTAATGAAGTCAAAATTATTTCAAAAAATCAGGGAAAAATTCTGTTCTATATTTTACTAGGAGTAGTAGCAATGACATCCATTCTTGTTTTTACAAACCACAAAATGCTGATACCAATTGAATATCTCTAGTAGCATCACCAATTTATGGTGGTCTCATCATCTTCCCCTTTCTTTTGTAACTGCTTGTATTAGGAGGAGTACTAGTAGTACTACTAGTAGAGCCACCAGCAGTATTCTTCTTCTACTACTAGTACTAGTACTACTATAAGCTAGTAGTACATCACCACCATCCTCTATGGTAAACAAATGTTTCCATTCTGGACCTTGCTGTCATCCTCTTCTTCAATGTCTGTCCCTCTGCTGCTGCTGGTGGTGTAGTAGTACTAGTATGTGAAAAACATTATTGCCAGTATTACTATTATGTTACATCACACAATGCAAAAGCACTTTCACAGTGGAAATATTTTCTCAAAATGCACAAAAAAAATACCTATTGTGTTGTGCATCTCAGCAAATTTTGCATCCCAAAACGCACGCAACAATGTCGCCGAGCCCTACGTTCCCCACCCCATCATGATCTTCATCAGTTTTATTTTCACTTTGGTTGGAGCAGAAACATACCTATTCACACTGGGAGTAACAATTATTGTGTTGGAGTHKGCTGTRACTTGCTCTGCAGAGTTGACAGAGTCGAATATAGGCGCATCATCGTCGAGATCAGAATCAACAGCATTCATTTCATAATCAATCAGGCAACGATCGACTAGTT